ATTGGTGGAATGATGAAGTAAAGGGTGTGATAAAAGAGAAAAAGGTAGCTTATGAGAGGTTTTTACAAAGCAGAAGTGTTTTAAGAAGAGCAGAGTATATGGAGAGTAAAAGAAAGGTAAAGAGAGTGGTGAGAGAGTGCAAAAGGAGAGCAGATGATAGAGTGGGAGAGGCACTGTCAAGAAATTTTAATGAAAATAAGAAAAAATTTTGGAGTGAGTTAAACAAGTTAAGAAAGCCTAGGGAAAATATGGATTTGTCAGTTAAAAACAGAGTAGGGGAGTTAGTAGATGGGGAGATGGAGGTATTTGGTAGATGGCGAGAATATTTTGAGGAACTTTCAAATGTTAAGGAAGAAACAGAGGCAGTAATTTCATGCACTGGTCAGGGAGGTATACCATCTTTTAGGAGTGAAGAGCAGAATGTAAGTGTGGGGGAGGTACGTGAGGCATTACGTAAAATGAAAGGGGGTAAAGCAGCTGGAACTGATGGGGATCATGACAGAAATGTTAAAAGCAGGGGGGGATATAGTGTTGGAGTGGTTGGTACTTTTGTTTAATAAAGGTATGAAAGAGGGGAAGGTACCTAGGGATTGGCGGAGAGCATGTATAGTCCCTTTATATAAAGGGAAAGGGGACAAAAGAGACTGTAAAAATTATAGAGGAATAAGCTTACTGAGTATACCAGGAAAAATGTACGGTAGGGTTATTAATTGAAAGAATTAGAGGTAAGACAGAATGTAGGATTGCGGATGAGCAAGTTGTTTTCAGAGTGGGTAGGGGATGTGTAGATCAAGTGTTTACATTGAAGCATATATGTGAACAGTATTTAGATAAAGGTAGGGAAGTTTTTATTGCATTTATGGATTTAGAAAAGGCATTTGATAGAGTGGATAGAGGAGCAATGTGGCAGATGTTGCAAGTATATGGAATAGGTGGTAAGTTATTAAATGCTGTAAAGAGTTTTTATGAGGATAGTGAGGCTCATGTTAGGGTGTGTAGAAGAGAGGGAGACTACTTCCCGGTAAAAGTAGGTCTTAGACAGGGATGTGTAATGTCACCATGGTTGTTTAATATATTTATAGATGGGGTTGTAAAGGAAGTAAATGCTAGGGTGTTCGGGAGAGGGGTGGGATTAAATTTTGGGGAATCAAATTCAAAATGGGAATTGACAGTACTTTTGCTGATGATACTGTGCTTATGGGAGATTCTAAAGAAAAAATTGCAAAGGTTAGTGGATGAGTTTGGGAATGTGTGTAAAGGTAGAAAGTTGAAAGTGAACATAGAAAAGAGTAAGGTGATGAGGGTGTCAAATGATTTAGATAAAAGAAAAATTGATATCAAATTGGGGAGGAGGAGTATGGAAGAAGTGAATGTTTTCAGATACTTGGGAGTTGACGTGTGGGCGGATGGATTTATGAAGGATGAGGTTAATCATAGAATTGATGATGGAAAAAAGGCGAGTGGTGCGTTTGAGGTATATGTGGAGTCAAAAAACGTTATCTATGGAGGGAAAGAAGGGAATGTATGAAAGTATAGTAGAAACCAACACTCTTATATGGGTGTGAAGCTTGGGTGGTAAATGCAGCAGCGAGGAGACGGTTGGAGGCAGTGGAGATGTCCTGTTTAAGGGCAATGTGTGGTGTAAATATTATGCAGAAAATTCGGAGTGTGGAAATTAGGAGAAGGTGTGGAGTTAATAAAGTATTAGTCAGAGGGCAGAAAGGGGTTGTTGAGGTGGTTTGGTCATTTAGAGAGAATGGATCAAGATTAGAATGACATGGAAGCATATAAACTATAGGGGAAGGAAGGTGGGTAGGGAGTCGTCCTCGAAAGGGTTGGAGAGAGGGGTTAAAGGCGGTTTTGTGGGCAAGGGGCTTGGACTTCCAGCAAGCGTGCGTGAGCGTGTTAGATAGAGTGAATGGAGACGAATGGTACTTGGGACCTGACGATCTGTTGGAGTGTGAGCAGGGTAATATTTAGTGAAGGGGATTCAGGGGAAACCGGTTATTTTCATATAGTCGGACTTGAAGTCCTGGAATGGGAAGTACAATGCTGCACTTTAAAGGAGGGGTTTGGGATATTGGCAGTTTGGAGAGATATGTTGTGAATCTTTATATGTGTATGCTCTAGACTGTTGTATTCTGAGCACCTCTGCAAAAACAGTGAAATGTGCAGTGTGGTGAAAGTGTTGAATGATGATGAAAGTATTTTCTTTTGGGGATTTCTTTCTTTTTGGGCACCCTGCTCGGTGGGAGACGGCCGACTTTGTGAAAAAAACAAAAAAAAAAAAAAAAAAGAAATTATATAGTATTATATACATATATATATATGATAATATATTATATATATAATATGTATTATATTATATTTATATATATATGTTATATATATTTATATATATTATATATATATATATATTTATATATTATATATATATTATATATATATATATATATATATAATTATATATAATATATATTATTTATATATATATATTATATATATATATTATATAATATATATATATATATATATAATATTCATTTTTTCTTTCTTTCAACATACCAGCCGTATCCCACCAGGCGGTGTGGCCAAAATGAAAAAATAAGTTTCCTTTTTAAATTTATTGAATATTACAGGAAAGGGTTACTAGCCCCTTGCTCCGGCATTATTAGTAGCCTCTTACAACACGCATGCTTTACGGAGGAAGAATTCTGTTCCACTTCCCATGGAGGATTATATATATATTATAAATATAAATATAATATATATATGTATATATATATATATATATATTTTTTTAGGTACTTTCTTTCTCTTTTTCTCTTTTCTTTTTCTTTTTTTCTTTTCTCTCTTTTCTTTCTTTTTCTTTTCTTCTTTCTCTCTTTCTTTCTTTCTCTCTTTTTTTTCTCTTTCTTTTCTTTCTCTCTTTCTCTTTTCTCTCTTTCTCTTCTTTTTCTTTTCTCTTTCTTTCTTTCTTCTTTCTCTTTCTTTCTTTCTCTTTTCTTCTTTCTCTCTTCTCCTCTCTTTCTTTTCCTTTTCTCTTTCCTTTTCTTTTCTCTTCTTTCTCCTTTTTCTTCTTCTTTTTCTTCTTCTTCTTTCCTTTCTTCTCTCTTTCTCTTCTTCTCTCTCTTTCTCTCTCTCTTTTCTCTCTCTTTTCTCTCTTCTTCTCTTTCTCTCTTCTCTCTTTCTCTTTTTTCTCTTTCTCTTCTCTTCTTCTTTCTCTCTTTCTTTCTCCTTTTCTCTCTTTCTCTTTTCTTCCTCTTTCTCTTTCTCTCTTTTCTCTTTCTCTCTTTCTTCTCTCTCTCTCTCTCTCTCTCTCTTTTCTTTCTCTTTCTCTTTTATCTTTCTCTCTTTCTCTTTTCTTTTCTCTCTTTTCTTCTCTTTTCTCTTTCTCTCTTTCTCTTTCTCTTCTCTTTCTTCTCTCTTTTCTCTCTTTCTCTCTTTCTCTCTTTCCTCTTCTTTCTCTTCCTCTCATTTCTCTATTCTCTCTCACGCTCTTCACTTCTCTCTCTTCATCATCTTTCTAACGTTCGGATCTCTTTTCTTTCTCTACTTTATCCTGATCTGATCTCTTCTCTCTTTCGATCCTCTTGTATTCTCATTCTATCATTCTTTCTCTCTTTCTCTCTTTCTTACTTTCCTCTTTCTCTCTTCTCAAACTTATCTCCTTTCTCTCATCTCTATTTTCTCTCTTTCTCTCTTTTTTCTCTCTTTCTCTCTTTCTCTCTGCTCTCGTCTCTCTTTTGCAAACAAATCATCTCCTCTTTCTCCTCTTCTCTCTTTCCTCTCTTTCTCCCTCTTTCTCTCTCTCTTTCTCTTTCTTTCTCTTTCTCTCTTTCTTTCTTTCTTTCTCTTTTCTTTTCTCTTTCTCTTTCTTTCTCTTTCTCTTTCTCTCTTTCTTTTTTCTTATCTCTCTATTCTTCTTTCTTTCTTTCTTTCTTTTCAACATACCAGCCATATCCCACCGAGGCGGTTGTGGCCCAAAAGAAAAAACTAAAGTTCTCTTTTTAAATTTAGTAATATATACAGAGAAAGGGTTACTAGCCCTTGCTCCGGCATTTTAGTCGAGCTTACAACACGCATGGCTTACGGAGGAAGAATTCTGTTCCACTTCCCCATGGAGGATATTATATAGTAATATATATATATATTCATAGATATATATATATATATATATATATATATATATATATATACATAATTTTTTTTTTTTTTAGGTACAGTATCAAGAGCATAACCCTATTTTTTCCATGTGTTCTTCACTTTACATAACATTATATTTATACAAGCTTGTAATATTATAGAGCTATTCCCCATGTTATAAATGTTACAGTATGTTACTGTTTAACTAGTCAGTAATGTGCTGTATGTTGTAGATAATTGTAAACTTTTTTCATCTTTGTAGCATGTACATACTTGAGACTAGTTAGTGTTGGAAAAATTTACCTTTTGAGGGAGAAAAGTTCCTAAAGGATAAAGGGTACAGTATTTAGACAGAAAGGTCACTCTTAAATATGACATTTGCAAACCTATGTATTATTGAAATTGAGTGAACTTCTCTATGTACCAGGATTCAGTCGTGTGATAATGGAAATTTATTAATTGTAATTGATATTAGAGTTTCTAAGTATTTACATCAGTAGTCCCTAAATTTTGCATGTTTCTGTATTATGTAATTTAGTACTAATGACTTTTTTTGTGCTTTTATTTGTTCATATTTAAAAAACAAATTGGCCTTCAATACTTCTGTTAAGTCTTTCATTAGCAGTTTACTAATAAAATGAGTCGTTAATTATGTAATACTACTTCACTCTGTGCCTTTGTATGTGCATATTAAACCTCAAAATCAAATTTGTTTAAGGTTGCAATAGTGGGTGCAGTTTCACAAGATCATTGATAATTTTAATGATAAATTTAAGTCAGTTTGGTTACAAAGTGAAAAGCTTCTAAGATGTACTGTGTGTGCTCTCACGTTGAAGAATTATTTGTGTTTCCAGCTTGTCCAGAGGGAAAATGGGGTATGGGATGTGTACATGATTGCCCGTGTCTACATGAAGGAAAATGTGATCCACTCTATGGCAATTGTTCGTGTCATGCTGGATGGATTGGTCCTTATTGTGAAGAAAAGTGTCAGGGCGGATACTACGGGGTGGTGAGTTAAAAGCCTATTTTAAGCATTACTCGATAATGATGCAAGTAAACCAACATGGTGGAAATGAAAGTGAAAGAGGCGTTGCTGTGTGTTTCGATGGCTTCGGCTGTATGCCTTGAAATATTCGGTATGTACCTCTTGCTTTGTTTCCCTTTCCACATGTAGGTTTGCTTGCTCCATTGACCAGTGTTTTTTTTACACTTTTGTATTTGGATTACTGTGCATGTCTTCCTAATGTTTACACTTGACACACTCCATAAACTGTACTAGTTTGTGTCGTCTGATTGCCTATTAATAGTTATTCATCCTAATTGTAATTGAGAGTTGAAGTATGCTAGTGTCTCATTTTTCATTACTGTATCATATTATTATTCAAGTTTCAGCGATTGTTACACATTAAATTCCAGTTTTTTATCACTGTTTGGAAAAGTATCTTTTATTATTTGTAGTGTATTCCAAACTATCTTCGTGGTCTGGTTTTGTTGCATCTCTCCTCTCACTTCTGATGCTGCAGAGAGAACTTCCATTAAATTTTCTCAAATTGAGTAAGAAAGAAAATTTTTATGATGGGGAAAAGTAGGAAAATGTGATGTCAAGGCCAATATAGGAATGAGAATACTGTATGATACATAAAAAGTGAAAACTCCAGTTGATTTTAAAGTTGTATATGAACACTGGGACCTTTTATCATTCAAGGGTAGGTGGATCTGATATTTAAGTGAACTCTTGAGTAATAGTTTGATAGGTATATTTTGCTAAGATGGAAGGAAAAAGGGTTTGAAGAAATTCCATGAATTTCAGTGCTATACAGATATGATAAGTCTCTCCCTCTGAGGAAAGATGAGAGATTAACCTTTAAACTGTCCAAGCAGATCTCTTCATATGCGTAGTGCTCCAAAAGTAGATCTACGATTTTTTTTACATATTTTCAAATATAACAAAAAAAAAAGTAGATCAAAGTTTTTTACACGTTTTCAAATGTAAAAAAAAATCTACTTTTTTTACATTCAAATGTTGCAAAAACATAGATCTACGTTTGGACAGTTTAAGGATTAACATGGGGGGGGGGGGGAAGAGCGTGGCTCCCGAGTGAACGTGTGAATAAGTGAAGTTTAATATTATTTTAATATTCCTTTTGTTGTTGATTAACCCTTAAATGGTCCAAACGTATATATACGTTTTTTCAACATCTGAAAGTATGTAAAAAAATGTAGATCTTCTTTTTTGTTTTGCATTTGAAAACGTGTAAAAAAAACTTTTATCTACATTTTTTTTTTATATTTGAAAATATGTAAAAAAAAAAAAAGTAGATCTACTTTTATAGCACTACAAATTTGAACGTCGATCTCTTTGGACCATTTAAGGGTTAAAAAATCTTCCTCTTTGGTATTAATTTTTTCCATTATCAACAGTTTTAATTTGTGATGAATTTTAAGTAACACCCTCGTCTGTTTTTCTCGCCTGTTTGCCTTCTATGCTTCCTGTCCACTTATCACATACCAGCTTCTTTTAGAATTTGAAAATGACTAATTTTTTTACATTACCACACACAGATACAGTGGTCCCTCTTTTATCATAATTAATCCATTCCTGGAGGTGTTACTATTATCGAAATCTACGATTTTTGAATCGATTTTCCCCATAAGAAATAATGTAAATACAATTAATCCGTTCCTGACACAGAGAAGTACTAAAACAAAAAAAAATTTTTTAGATGAAATATAGATGTTGTACATAATACAATGGGACATGATGAATGAAACATTAACAGCATAACACTTACCTTTATTGGCGATTCTTCTTAGTGTATGGAAGACTGGAGGAGGAGAGAGATTGGATTATTTACAGTTTGGAAGGGGAATCCCCTTCCATCAACACCTCAGATACCAATTGCTTTTCTGGGGTTACTTCTCTTATGTTTCTTAATGCCACTAGGACCAGCTTGAGTCACTGGAGTCCTGTCTCGCAAAATAACTGTTCAGAGAGCTCTGTTTCTGGCATCTCTTTAACACTTCCCTAAAATGGGCCAAGACTTTGTCACTGTACATGTTGCCAACATGGCTTGCAACAGCCTTGTCAGGGTGATGTTTATCCATAAATCTTTCCATCTTAACCCACATTTCAAAAATCTCCTTAATTTCTGAAGGCGGCACCCTCTTCCATCTCTCTTCCTCCTCCTCTGCAGCAAGATTCTGAGCTGCAATCTGTTGCTCTTCCTGCTGAAGCTCTTGCAGCTCGTCAGTGTTGAGCTCTTCATTGTGGTCTTCCACCAACTCTTCCACATCCTGCAAACTCACATCCAACCCCATGGAACTCCCCAGTGCCACAATAGATTTAAAAACAGACATAGGCTTATCAGGGTCAGCCCCAAACCCTTCAAAATCCCTCTTGTCGACACAATCAGGCCACAATTTTCTCTAAGCAGAGCTCAAAGTCCTGGTAGTCACTCACTCCCAAGCTGTACCTATAAGGGTTATGCAATGGAGGATGCTGAAGTGTTCTCTCCAAAAATCTCTTAGGGTCAAGTGAGTGTCTGAGGTCACATTCAAGCACCTTTGAAACATTGCTGTGGTGTAGAGTTTTTTAAAGTTTGCAATGACCTGCTGGTCCATGGGCTGGAGGAGAGGAGTGGTATTCGGGGGCAAGAACTTTACTGTGATGAACCCAAACTCCTCGAAAATTAGGTCATCCAAGTTTGGAGGATGAGCAGGTGCATTGTCCATTACTAGGAGGCACTTGAGATCCAATTTCTTTTCCAGGAGGTAATTCTTCACACTAGGGCCAAACACTTCATTGAACCACTCAACGAAAATGTCCCTTGTGACCTATGCCTTACTATTAGATTTCCAAAACACACACAATTTACTCTTCATAACATTGTTTTTCCTGAACACTGGGATTTTCAGAATGGTACACTAGTAACGGCTTCACTTTGAAATCCCCACTAGCATTAGCACAGAACATGAGTGTCAGCCTGTCTTTCATAGGCTTGTGTCGTGGCAGTGCCTTTTCCTCCTGTGTAATCTAGGTCCTGTTTGGCATTTTCTTCCAAAAGAGGCCTGTTTCGTCACAATTGAACACTTGTTCAGGTTTCAGTCCTTCAGCCTCTATGTACTCCTTGAATTCTTCCTCCGTAAGCCATGCGTATTGTAAGAGGCGACTAAAATGCCGGGAGCAAGGGGCTAGTAACCCCTTCTCCCATATAAATTACTAAATTTGAAGAGAAACTTTTGTTTTGCTTTTTGGGCCACCCTGCCTCGGTGGGATACGGCCGGTTTGTTAAAAAAAAAAAAAAAAATCAGCCGCTTTGTGGTCAGAGCTGGTAGCCTCGCCATGCCTTACCACACTGTGTATGCCACTATGGTTCTTAAATCTCTCAACCCAACCTTTGCTGGCCTTAAATTCACTCGCATCACCACTAGTTGCAGGCAATTTCTTTACCAGAACGTCGTGCAATTGCCTAGCCTTTTCACAAGTAATCGACGTCATAAGACTATCTCCTGCTAATTGTTTCTCGTTTATCCACACCGATGATAACTTCTCAACCTCTTCGAGTACTGGTGATCTCATTTTTGTCAGCATATTTACCCCCTTTGCAACACCACCGTCCTTGATTTCCTTTTTCTTGGCCACGATGGAACGTATGGTGTATAGGGTTTGTTATACATCCTGGCCAGTTCGGCCACACTTACGCCACTTTCATATTGTTCAGTGATGTTTTTCTTAAATTGTCGTATTTCTCGCCTTCTTTACCAAAGGCTTGGCACTAGGAACTTTCTTTGGAGCCATGGTAGCTTATTTAGTACTTGCAAGCACTAAAATGAATGGAATATTATGAAATATTTCGTAGGAGCACGTGAGGGGACCTTCGCTCACTGGTAAACAATGCCACACTGGCTGGGTAGGGAGGCTGCCCTGGCTCACAGCGTGCGTACGCGTCCCGGATGACCTACTATTCGCAAGCCAATCTACGATTAGCGAGCCCATGTTTTTACGAAAATATCGCTATGATTTCCGAAATTTACTACTCTCAAGCCCTACGATTATCGAGGGACCACTGTATACCACAATTGTATGGATTATGTGGCAAACAATTTTACATTGTAGATATGACACTGCATTCAGTTAACTCTAAATATGCATTTCAAGCAAGTTAGCCCAGTAGGTGATCTTAACATGTAAATTTCTTTGTTGGAAAACAATGCATGCATGTAATAATGTTGACAATGCAATGCTAGGACTGCAGGGATCGATGTCGATGTCAGAACAGCGGGACTTGTGACCATGTTTCTGGAGCTTGTCAATGTCCACCAGGCTGGACTGGTCCCCTGTGTGAGAAATCATGTCCTGAGGGAACTCACGGCACTGCCTGTAGCAACAAGTGCCAGTGCCAGAACGGAGGCCACTGTGATCCAGTCACAGGGAAATGTCGATGTCCGCAAGGTTGGACTGTAAGTATTAATGCTTGTTTTATGTGAATGGATTGCTGCTCTAACTGTACTTAATTACGAATTTTTTTTTTCTTTTAACACTTTGGCCGTTTCCCATCGAGGCAGGGTGTCCTAAAGAGCAAGAAAAAAAACTTTAACACTCCCACTATCACTCGTACATAATCAGTCTTTCCAGAGGTACCCAGATACGACAGTTTAGATGTCCCTCCAAATTGCCATTATTACAAACCCTTCCTTTAAAGTGCAGGCATTGTACTTCCTATTTCCAGGACTCAGGTCCAGCTAACTGGTTTCCCCGAATCCCTTCACAAAATATTACCCTGTTCACATTTATATCTAAATTTAATAATACAGTACCATGTGCATGAAATATTTTATTTTTTGATAGTGTGGAGATATAACCCACAAGATGATAATCTCTGCATTATAGGGAGGAGTTTTAGCAGAGAAATTCATCTTTTCTATAGTTTCCTCTAAAGGTGGGAAGAAATGGGCAGGTTTTTTTCTCCAGGGCTAGGAAGATATCAAAATGTTTTAGGCCAGTAAAGGTATTAGCATTTGTATCAGTATCAGTAGATATTAGTTAATATCCACTGATACTGATTACCCCTCAAGATTTACCAATACCTGTACTCAATTTTAGAACGATATAGATACCATCAAAATTGGCGAATACTATTACTTTGGTAAATCCCAAGTTTTCTCGCTCCATGAAAGTGTGGGGGGGGGGGGAGATGACTGGGTAATGGTAATTTTTATAAAAGTATGTCATTTGTAATTGCAGTAATTAAGGTGATACATTTCATTTGGTGCTGAAAACGACAGTTAGATGTTCACTGCACCTATTGTAAACACAGTGGCTCAATCTGCATAGCAGTGGACTTGCATATAAAGAGCTGTCAGTCTGGTTCCCAAACCAACAGCCTTGCCTTTGTCAGTTTGGTCCCCAAACTAACATGTGAGGAGCACCTGTCTACACAGATCAGTAGGCCAACTTTACAAGAATTATAAGATTACCTCCCCTCCTCCTTACTTATCAAAGTTGCATATCATGTCAAAAACTCTATAATTTTTTACTTTCATGGTATGAAGAAGTTCTTGCTTCATAACAATTTTGCAGATTGTATAGTTTTAATAAGGCGGGAGCTGAGCTTTCACTGAGATAATGATGCATTATGTTAAGTGTTGTAGCGATCTTCATATTTCAGGGAGATGTGTGTGCCAACCCATGTCCTCAGGGAACGTGGGGTCGTAACTGCTCAGAACTTTGCGATTGCTATAACTCTGCTACATGTGATCATATAACTGGTCGCTGTAAGTGCCCTTCTGGATATATAGGAAATAAGGTAAGCTGTGTTTTGTAGAAGTCATTGACATGGTCCAGGACTCGTCTGATATCCAGTTCCCCTGAATCCCTTCACAAAATGATACTTTGCTCACACTTCAAAAGTTCATCAAGTTCCAAAAACCATTTGCCTCCACTCCTATCTAACACTCATACAAGCCCCTCTCACACTAAACTTCCCTTTCCCTCTTCCACCAACCTTTTGCTAGGAAGACTCCCTACCCCTGTCTTCCCTCCTACAGATTTATACATCCTCCAAATCATCCTATTTTGCTCCATCCCCGCTAAATATTTGTTGATTTTTTTTTTTTTAAATCCTCAAGTGATGACATCCTTGAAGAGTACCAGCCAGAAAATGTGATCTGCAGCAGCTCTCTAATCTTTTTGTTAAAATCACTACAGCTGATTCTTCAAACCATTGTGTTGCTGGTTTCTCAAATGGCAGATGTGAAAGAATTTATTGGTGAAGGACCATTGCTGGTGGAAGCTCTTGAAAACCTTAATTTGATCTCCCCACTCAAAGGGCCTATGGAGAATGGAAATGCCACAGCTATTTTAGTAGTGTATATATTAATCATTCAAGTTTTCCTTATGTTGCTGCATAATTTTTTTTAAGAATCCCTTATTGTTTATCCAAAATGACTGCTCTAAAAATCTATGATTTGACTACAAAATTTCTAAGACCCTTACGAACAGCTCGTATTCTGTATATAATCAGGTGGTTTATAGGCATCATTATCACTGATTTTCATAGGATATATACAGTGTTGCACTCTAGAAATTTGAAAATGGCAAAATTGCACAAATTCTCAAATATTAATGTGCTATTCTCTGTGAGTAACACTTTCTCTGATTTATTTATCATAAATGTTAAAAATTTCATTTATTTTAATTCTTATCCACATCCCATTTCTAGTAAAACACCCTTCATGGGGGCAAGGGCTTCTGATCCAAGAAATTGGAGCTTCTCTTCCACAGATCAGATTTAACTACCATTGCCCCTCCTATTCTTCATGCACTGTATGACCCTTTGTAGGTTTAGTCTTTACCCATGACTATAATAATTATTGTCCAACACAGGTTAGAACAGAACAGCCCACATTCATGTATTTTATTTCTTAGTGTCAAGAAGAATGCCCTCTTGGCACTTATGGAGTCAATTGCACCGAGAGTTGCACCTGCCGCAATGGAGCAACGTGCTCACACATAAGTGGCCGATGTTTCTGTAAAGATGGCTGGCTTGGAAGCAGCTGCTCTATTCCTGCATGTCCTCCTAACCAATATGGCTCTGGATGCTCGCAGATATGCTCGTGTGAAAAGGATAATACAGAAAGGTAAGCCATATAAATCTTTGGATGGATATAAATTTGACTGTCCTGAAAAATGTTAATGTAAAATAAACTGAAGAACATGTGTGAAAAATAGGGTTATGTTCCTTAGCATTGTAATACTGCTTTTTTAAAACTATCCCATTTCCCCTCCAATACCCATACTTGCACTAGCCCATCTTTCTGCCAATAGTTGCCTATGTCTCAACCTACCTGCCTTAGTTTATAAACTTTCACCTCTCTAACTGTTGCCATTTTCCTTTTGTCCCATCTACCTTTTTACCGTAACTGTAACTACAACTAGATAATGATCTGATATATCCATTGTCCCTCTATAAACACGTACATCCTGAAGCCTACCCATCAACGTTTTATCCACCAATACATAGTCTAACAAACTACTTTCATTAAGTGCTATATCATATCTTTCATACTTATTTATCCTATTTTTCTTAAAATGTGTATTGCTTATTACCAAACCTCTTTCTGCACATAGTTCAATTAAAGGCTACCCATTTTCATTTATCCCTAACACCCTAAATTTACCTACTACTCTCTCTACAACATTTTTATCCACTTCATCATTGAGATCACCAACCACAAGTACTCGCTTGGTTTAAAACTCTCCATGCACTCTCAGCATTTCCCAAAATCTCTCTACACCTCTATCTTTTCCAGGTGCATAAACACTTACTATAACCCACTTTTCACATCCAACCCATATTTTATTCCACATAATCCTTGAATTTATACATTTATATTCCTTCTTTTCCTGCCATAACTTATCCTTCAGTATAACTGCTACTTCTTCCTTAGCTCTAACTATTAGAAACCCCTGACCTAATCCCATTTATTTGTCCCCACTGAAACTCTCCTACCCCTTTCAGCATTTTCACTTAGAGGCAGGACATCCAGCTTCTTTTCATTCATAACATCCACAATCATTTCTTTCTTATCATTTGCACTACATCCATGCAGTCAAACATCCCACATTGACGGTTTTCTTTTTCTTTTTAGTAAGCTATACAGGAAAAGGGGGGGTTACTAGCCCATTGCTGCCAGCACTTTAGTTGACTTTTAAAACGCACTTGGCTTACGGAGGAAAGATTCTTATTCCACTTCCCCATGGATATGAAAGGAAAGGTAATAAGAACAAAACTAATAAAATCAAAGAAGACTCGAATGAGTGTGTATGCATAAACGTGTACATGCATGTGTAGTGTGACCTAAGTGTAAGTAGAAGTAGCAAGACGTACCTGAAATCTTGCATGTTTATGGGACTGAGAAAGACGCCAGCAATACTATCATCATGTAAAACAAATACAGGCTTCTGTTTTACTCGCTTGGCAGTACAGTAGTACCTCCCTGGGAGGTTGCTGTCTACCAACGTACTGTACAAATGTGTTACAGTTGATGTCGCCTTGTGCAATACCTGTACAAGTATACAACAGGCAGTTCCATTTGTTACTTGCCACAACTATCACCTGCCTCCTCCACAGCCACAATCTCCTGCAAACATCGGTAAAAATACCATACATTACTGGCCTAAAACAAGATTTTTTACTATGTAAATATGCCCATCATAATAAGTGCAAGCTATCCCCCCAAAAAATAGGAAATGGTGATCATAATCAAGAGACAACCTTCTCAGGTTATCAGCATGTCCTGTTATTGCTGGGTTTGAAGGTTGTGATGACCCAAGGTTTGTATTTGTCTCAATGAAGTGACATTAACTGCTAGAATTTTTTTTTCTTCCAAAAAAAGAAACACTTTTGCCATCATTACCTGTATCAGTCTTACCTTACCTGTCCTTGGGAAATACAGCAAAAATTTAATATTTCTGCTACTTTGTCCATCTTTGAGCTAATTCCAGTCCTCAAAGCAAGAAAATCACCTTTATTTCAGATGATACCAAGAAAAAGCCAATAAAACCATAAAAACCACATAAAACATGTCAGTGTCTGTATTTTAAACCAAACCCATGGTTTTGCTTTTCCCATCATGCACTGTTTGGGGCAGATGTTTTTTATACTGTACACTCGCTGCACAGACCCATTCTCTCATATCTAGGTGAAAATTTACCACTCACAGCTTGAGTGAGCTGAGCTCATGATACAGAACTACACGGGGCACCCTGGCTTCAATGACAGTTCTATATGATGGCCACTGAAAGGTTAATGTGCAAATTGAAAATGCTACACTAGGTTTAAAAAAATTTCTCAATATAAAACAAACATTACGTTTTTCATTTGGTAAGAGACGTAATTATCTGGAGTCAGAGTAGCTAATATATTCCTGAGCCACTCAGCTTTTTCCCTCGATATATTTTTTTTTTTTTTTTTTTTATTATATATTATTTTATTATTATTATTATTTATATTTTATCTTTATATTATATCACCGGCCGATTCCCACCAAGGCAGGGTGGCCCGAAAAAGAAAAACTTTCACCATCATTCACTCCATCACTGTCTTGCCAGAAGGGTGCTTTACACTACAGTTTTTAAACTGCAACATTAACACCCCTCCTTCAGAGTGCAGGCACTGTACTTCCCATCTCCAGGACTCAAGTCCGGCCTGCCAGTTTCCCTGAACCCCTTCATAAATGTTACTTTGCTCACACTCCAACAGCACGTCAAGTATTAAAAACCATTTGTCTCCATTCACTCCTATCAAACACGCTCACGCATGCCTGCTGGAAGTCCAAGCCCCTCGCACACAAAACCTCCTTTACCCCCTCCCTCCAACCTTTCCTAGGCCTCCCCCTACCCCGCCTTCCTTCCACTACAGACTGATACACTCTTGAAGTTATTCTGTTTCGCTCCATTCTCTCCACATGTCCGAACCACCTCAACAACCCTTCCTCAGCCCTCTGGACAACAGTTTTGGTAATCCCGCACCTCCTCCTAACTTCCAAACTACGAATTCTCTGCATTATATTCACACCACACATTGCTCTCAGACATGACATCTCCACTGCCTCCAGCCTTCTCCTCGCTGCAACATTCATCACCCATGCTTCACACCCATATAAGAGCATTGGTAAAACTATACTCTCATACATTCCTCTCTTTGCCTCCAAGGACAAAGTTCTTTGTCTCCACAGACTCCTAAGTGTACCACTCACCCTTTTCCCCTCATCAATTCTATGATTCACCTCATCTTTCATAGACCCATCCGCTGACACGTCCACTCCCAGATATCTGAATACATTCACCTCCTCCATACTCTCTCCCTCCAATCTGATATCCAATCTTTCATCACCTAATCTTTTTGTTATCCTCATAACCTTACTCTTTCCTGTATTTGCTTTCAATTTTCTTCTTTTGCACACCCTACCAAATTCATCCACCAATCTTTGCAACTTCTCTTCAGAATCTCCCAAGAGCACAGTGTCATCAGCAAAGAGCAACTGTGACAACTCCCACTTTATGTGTGATTCTTTATCTTTTAACTCCACGCCTCTTGCCAAGACCCTCGCATTTACTTCTCTTACAACCGCATCTATAAATCTATTAAACAACCACGGTGACATCACACATCCTTGTCTAAGGCCTACTTTTACTGGGAAATAATTTCCCTCTTTCCTACATACTCTAACTTGAGCCTCACTATCCTCGTAAAAACTCTTCACTGCTTTCAGTAACCTACCTCCTACACCATACACCTGCAACATCTGCCACATTGCCCCCCTATCCACCCTGTCATACGCCTTTTCCAAATCCATAAATGCCACAAAGACCTCTTTAGCCTTATCTAAATACTGTTCACTTATATATTTCACTGTAAACACCTGGTCCACACACCCCCTACCTTTCCTAAAGCCTCCTTGTTCATCTGCTATCCTATTCTCCGTCTTACTCTTAATTCTTTCAATAATAACTCTACCATACACTTTACCAGGTATACTCAACAGACTTATCCCCCTATAATTTTTGCACTCTTTTATCCCCTTTGCCTTTATACAAAGGAACTATGCATGCTCTCTGCCAATCCCTAGGTACCTTACCCTCTTCCGTACATTTATTAAATAATTGCACCAACCACTCCAAAACTACATCCCCACCTGCTTTTAACATTTATATCTTTATCCCATCAATCCCGGCTGCCTTACCCCCTTTCATTTTACCTACTGCCTCACGAACTTCCCCCACACTCACAACTGGCTCTTCCTCACTCCTACAAGATGTTGTTCCTCCTTGCCCTATACACGAAATCACAGCTTCCCTATCTTCAACAACATTTAACAGTTCCTCAAAATATTCCCTCCATCTTCCCAATACCTCTAACTCTCCATTTAATAACTCCTCTCCTATTTTTAACTGACAAATCCATTTGTTCTCTAGGCTTTCTTAACTTGTTAATCTCACTCCAAAACTTTTTCTTATTTTCAACAAAATTTGTTGATAACATCTCGCCCACTCTCTCATTTGCTCTCTTTTTACACTGCTTCACCACTCTCTTAACCTCTCTCTTTTTCTCCATATACTCTTCCTCCTTGCATCACTTCTACTTTGTAAAAACTTCTCATAAGCTAACTTTTTCTCCCTTACTACTCTCTTCACATCATCATTCCACCAATCGCTCCTGTTCCCTCCCGCACCCACTTTCCTGTAACCACAAACTTCTGCTGAACACTCTAACACTACATTTTTAAACCTACCCCATACCTCCTCGACCCCATTGCCTATGCTCTCATTAGCCCATCTATCCTCCAATAGCTGTTTATATCTTACCCTAACTGCCTCCTCTTTTAATTTATAAACCTTCACCTCTCTCTTCCCTGATGCTTCTATTCTCCTTGTATCCCATCTACCTTTTACTCTCAGTGTAGCTACAACTAGAAAGTGATCTGATATATCTGTGGCCCCTCTATAAACATGTACATCCTGAAGTCTACTCAACATCTTTTATCTACCAATACATAATCCAACAAACTACTGTCATTTCGCCCTACATCATATCTTGTATACTTATTTATCCTCTTTTTTCTTAAAATATATATTACCTATAACTAAACCCCTTTCTATACAAAGTTCAATCAAAGGGCTCCCATTATCATTTATACCTGGCACCCCAAACTTACCTACCACACCCTCTCTAAAAGTTTCTCCTACTTTAGCATTCAGATCCCCTACCACAATGACTCTCTCACTTGGTTCAAAAGCTCCTATACATTCACCCACTTATACCCACTCTTAAAACAATAAGCAGATTTATTTACGAAGATGATTCTTATGTATAATATAAGAGGTTGCTTGATTAATGTATGCATATCAAGACCCATAGGTATGCAAGGAATTTCAGGCAGACTTAAGACTAAATAAACCTAAAAAAAAAAAAAATACCATTTAAGCTATAGTGTTATTAAAGTGTATTGAGATTAGTACAAAAGTCATTTTGTCATATTCATAAAACTGATTACCAGTATGTATTTTGACACAAAGTTGCACTGTGAACTTCATAAATTCACAATATAACATAAGTAGGTTCAACAAAGATGAGATAATGAAGCACGTTGATCATGTTTACTCCACCAGATGATGCTGAAACCATCTCTGGAAGAGGATTATCAGAGAACTTGGGCAGAAGTACACTTTTGATTTTGTTTTAATATAGTCTCATTCTTAGGTAGTAGGTTGGTGGACAGTAACCACCCAGGGAGGGACTACCGTCCTGCCAAGCTAGTGTAAAACTGAGGCCTGTAATTTTTACATGATGCTACAATTGCTGGTGTCTTTTTTTGTTTCATAAACATGCAAAATTTCAGGTATGTCTTACTTCTTCTACTTACACTTAGGTCACATTACACATGCATGTACAAGCATATACAGTGTATTATACACACTCCTCTGGATTTTCTTCTATTTTCTTGCTAGTTCTTGTTTATTTCCTATCTCCATGGGGAAGTGGAACAGAATTCTTCCTCTGTAAGTCATGCATTCCCTAAGAGGTGACTAAAATGCTGGGAGCAAGGGGCTAGTAACCTCTTCTGTATACATTACTAAATTTAAAAAGAAAAACTACTTTCAATTTTCTTTTTGGGCCACCCTTCTTCATGAGATACTGCCAGTTTATTCAAAGAAGATAGTCTTGTTACCCAAATTTCAATACAGTGATCTGCCTATAATAGTGGAGTTTAACTGTATTGTATATGCCATCTGCCTATCTGGCTTTCCTGTGTAATTTCTGACTGTCATAGTAACTCCATAGATCGGATATTCAGGACTTGACAGCAGTTTTTTCTATTATATCCATTTCTAAAGTGGCTTCCTTAGTTAAAAGTACAGCCTCTCCTTACTTAGCAACATACTAGTGTACCGACGACTTGGACTTAGGACGGGTTCTCTGACTTGTATGCATACCTAAATAATGTATATTAGAGCTGATTTCCTCTATTCTGTTTATTGCAATATACGTTACACTACTGTATAAACATTTAAAAATATACCAGAAATGTTATAAATGGTGCAAAGATGACATTAAAACTATCAAAGATGGTTGACACAAACCCGCTTCCATTATAGTATGCTCCTTGCTTAGCAACAAATTAATTTACTGACATGGGCTTAGGAATGAAACTCCATTGTTAAGTGAGGAGAGCCTGTAGTTTTGTATTTTTCTTAATAGGTTTATACACTGATAATGGCTTTAATTCATTTCTTAAGTCTTTCCTGTATTTCAGATGTCACCCCTGGTCTGGAGTTTGTGAGTGTAAGGCAGGTTGGGCTGGGGAAACATGTACCCGAGCATGTCCGTTTTACAAGTATGGAGAGAAGTGTGCCAAAAGCTGCCAGTGTAAAAATGGGGCATTTTGCGATCCAATTAATGGATCCTGCATATGTGCTCCAGGTAAGATAAATACTCTATTCTCTCTGCATATGCAAATTTGTTGATCCATTAACAACATTTAAATCTCAGGGTATTCAATCTTCAGTGTTTAGTCTGCCACATTTCTATATAAATCTTAGTGATTGTCAGGTCACACTTACTATTTCCTCTTTGGTCTTGTCACAGTATTTTACCATGCATTTTATGAAAAGAGGAAACCTAATATCTTTTTTTTTTTTTTTAACTGAGGCCTCTTGTTTTCTGTTAGTGGTACCAAGAAATCAATACATACAGTATCTTGTATTCCTTTATGATCTTATGTGAGGTTATCATATTTCTGTGTATAAATTTAGAACTGAAGAGTTCTTCCATAAATGCAGTACACCATCTGTGATTGGTGAAACATCTTCAAAAGGCAGTACTGGCACCTACGAAGTACTGTACTTCTTAGGTTGACTTACTCTGTAACTGCTTTCCAACTTTACCACAAGATTCTTGCATCAGTTAAATAATTAACATGATCATCAGCTCTCATAGCTTCTCCTTCATGGAGTGCTGGTTTGTTTAAGTTACTGCAACTTCCTCCTTTTGTTTCTAATGATGCACTTTTGATAATGTTATAATACATAAATAACCTACACATAGGTTTCTTTTCTTGTATGTGTGGGTTATTTGTGTATTGCTCCAGTCATATGTGCCTTTTTATTTAATAGTGTTGCACAAGTAGTGGAAGTGGAGAAGAATGTGTATCGTAAAAAGTAACGAAAATGCAAAATGAAGAAAACAATTTTATTGTCAGCCTGCCTAGGTGGGAGATGGCCAGTGTTGGAAAAAAAAAATAATTATCCTCAAGGAAGATTAAGATACAAAAGATAATTAAGCCATCTTGACTTAATCATATTTCAATGTGCTAGTAGTTATTTTTAGTGATTTTTTTTTTGTGCTTTATGTTTGTTATATATTCAGTAGAAGTTTTGTCAATTTTCAGGGTACCATGGGGAGCAATGTGGAAAACACTGCCCACAAAACAGGTATGGCCAGAACTGTGAATTGGAGTGTCGCTGCAAAAACTCACTTGGCTGTTCACATGAATCTGGCAAGTGCATATGTAGACCGGGTAAGTGTATAGAGAGAAAATGTTAAAATATTGTTTTCCTTTTCAATACTCCCCACAATTATAATTATGAATATCCTGTTTAGTGCCCAGATAACATTAAAGAACTTGGTGATTAAATATACACTGCACAATTTTTTTTTGCGCCATAAAATGGTGTTAGTTTTCATTTTTGTATAAATTTTAACATCTCAATTTCTGAAATTTTTTGTGTTATTAATGAAGCAAGATTATTTTTTCTAACTTAAATTTCTAGGTTGGGAGGGTCAGCAGTGTTCCCTCACTTGCCTACTGGACTTCTATGGAGGTAACTGTACCAAGATATGTGATTGTCAGAACAATGGATCATGTAATCCAATATCTGGCAAGTGTACATGTGGCCCAGGACATTTTGGGGACAAATGTGAGAAGACTTGTGATCAGGGCTACCATGGCATGGCCTGTGTTAATTTCTGTGCCTGCGTTGGCCCAAATGTTGAAGGCTGTGATCCAGAATCTGGCAGATGTATATGCAAACCTGGTTTTAGAGGTAAAGGAAATTGTTTAATTTTTTAAACTTCTATTTCCCACCAAGTCTAAAAAAGAAAAACACATTCTTTCTGACTCATTCCTTAACTGTCTTCCCAGGAGAGCACAGTCATAACACTTTCAGTGATGCTTTGAAGTTCAACATCCACAACCATCCTGTGTAGTAACTATTCATTGGAGGACTATCACCCTGTTATATGGATGTGAAATGGAACCCTGTTTAATATTTAATATTTTGCACTGGCTGAATTGTTGCTATGCTTTGTCTCGTGAACACATGACTGGTAAATCTTGTAAACTTCTGCTTGTATTCATACTGTACATTTAACTTGAAGTAGGATTTTCACAGTAGTGGTGTACAGGAGAGAGTGGGATACAAGTTAAATGCTGCTTGCATGAATTTGTCATAATTATTCACAGTGTAGCTACATTTGCTGCCATTCTTAGCTGCCTCCCTCCCTGTATTAATCTTATTAGTGTTTTATGTAAATTTCATCAGTGATTTGATAATTTTGTATCTTTTTGACAGGTGTAAGTTGTGAGTCTCAATGTCCTCGTGGATATTATGGAGAATCTTGTACAAAAAAATGTGATTGCAAGAACAATGGATCGTGCAACATTCTGACAGGAAAGTGCATATGTGAGCGAGGGTGGCATGGTGCTGACTGCAACACACCTTGCAGACCTGGCAAGTATGGAGTGAATTGCAACCAGGACTGCCCAACATGTGTTCATGGTGAGTATAAAGAAAACTAGGAGCTATTATTGCTCTTGTGCAGTAAAATTACTAATGAGTTGCACTTGTTAAGACTGTCTACTCATGAGCAAGTCTTGAAACGCCTTGGAGTATCGTGCCCGAGTTATTACCGTACTGTGCTACTTTAGACCCATTTCTACATGAATAAATTCTGCATGAAGTTTAAAATTACCTAGGTATATGTGATTTGCAACAATTGTTTTATAAATTGCGAACAGTATAATTAAAACGTGGAATACTGTATTTGGAATTTGACAAAACTAAAGTGATCTTATATTTTCAGGAAATGGCACATGTCATCCACAATCAGGGGCATGTGTTTGTGCAGCTGGTTGGCGAGGTCCTCGATGTGACCGCACATGCTCCTTGGGCTCCTGGGGATTTGACTGTGCCAATGAATGTAGATGTCGAAATGGTGCTGAATGCCAACACGAAACGGGTATAACAGTAGATTCTCGAGCTATATAGGCTATATATGTGTTATTTTAAATGTTATCTCTTGGTGGCTGAATAAATCTGTCATCCCCCCACCCCTCCCACACAAACTGGCTATATGCAAAATGAAAGTATTTTGTTTCCTATCAGGTAAATAACCTTAAGATTGCATGTAAATTAAACTATAATCTATATGTAAATGTACAGCTCAGTGAGAGAAAAGTAGAATGTTCTCACAAGGAAAGAGGTTAAAGGAGTGGGTAAGAAATGTAAGTAAGAGGAAATGAGTAATCCTTTAACAATCATTTTTGCTAGACATAGAAATGAAAGTACTAATGAAACAAATGGAGGAATCTTAGAGGTAGCCATGAGTTACCTGTAGGTCAGTGGTTGGTGTTGTGTGCCTCTGTCTGAAAAACTCATTGTGATTCCCTGGCACTGCATGACACTTGGACAAATCTTGCACCTGTTTGCCTAGTGGTAAATAAGCAATGTACAACGTAGTAGTAGTAGTCAGTAAGTAGAAGTAGGAGGAAACATTACAACTGAGCTACAAGACTCATCCAACTGTTATCAGTAATTTGCATCCTTGTGGGTGGTAAACTGAAACTAGGGATTAGCTGTGAAATAAGCTGAGGTGCTGATTAAGTACTTGTACCCTGTTAAGTTGAATTCTGCTAAGAAAGAAAATAACATTAAAATTGCCGAGAGAGAAATGAGGGAATCAGAGAATGGGAAGTGGTAAAATGTTGTACTTTATGAAGAGCATTGAACATTCACATCACTCATTGCAGGGCTAAGGCTTGATCCTCTCTTTGCTTATCCTTAGACAGGCATGTTAGCTAACTGCTCACACATGTCAAATGTGGGAGCAGCAGCAGGGAGGAACTTACACTGAAATGCTGAAAGTAGGTGGTGGTAGTGCAGGAGTGGTTGGCACTTTCTTTTATGCACATTGGGGAGGGGGGGGGGGAAGCCCAAGGATTGGCAGAGTACCAGGGACAGACACAGACAAGTAGGTTAGTATTTATAAGTGGGGAAAAGTTTTCTTCATAAGAGTGGGTTTTAGACACTTGTCTAAGACTTAATTGTCCACTTTTAATTTGGCTATGGCTTCAGTGTTCTGAATTATGGTCATTGTTAGTTTTTCTATGTAAGTGCTGGAAAAAAACTACTGAATTTATTGTAAAATACAGATCAAAAGAATAACTCATTTAATGACCTATTACATACATTGAATATTGACTACAAATGATTCTTAATAAATGGTTTTAGATTATATTAATGAAATAAATTCTGTTGTAATAGCAGTGTATTACTGCATTACAGATGTAATTTTTTTTATTGTAGGGGAGTGCCTGTGTTTGCCGGGCTGGAGAGGTGCAGACTGTTCACATCCGTGCCCTCCAGGAACCTTCGGTTATAACTGCCTTCAGACATGTCACTGCCGTAATCATGCCTCGTGTCGTGGCAATGATGGTTTTTGCGAATGTAAACCAGGATGGATGGGCCCTGGATGCACACAAAGTGAGTGTAATGGTTTATGCATATAGAAACTGATAAATGTAATTTAATGCCTTTGGTTATCTCTTCATGTATTCCTGTAGAGAGATTCTTTAACATTTCAAGTGTTTTACCAAAGTTTATTTTGTTAGCTATATCTAAAACAATTTAAAAGAAATGTATTAAATTTTGCATGTGAATGATACCTTATTCACATGCTTTGAAGATTTGTCTCTAATATAACCACAATGAATAACTGAGACTACATCAAACTTGCCACATATGGATTCTAATATTAAGTAATACACTAGGTAGTTTTGGTTAAAAATGCATCCTGGAAAGGTATATAAAGTTCAATGAAATTTGATCTTTTTGTTATTATAGCTCTCGACCATTTAGGATAATTTGGAATGAGGGATTCCTTCGGGATAGATCTGGAGTGTGTAAACTTTTATTTGTAAGCTGCTGCCTACTAGTTCTCAAAATTAATACTTTATTTTTATTGAGGTGGATTTTATTTGGTATACAAATAAATCTTTATAAAATTGCTTTAAGTAGTTTCTGTACGAGACATATTAATGTAATGCACTGTGAATTTTCAGCTTTGTAACCCTCTTGTAACGGTTGAAGTGATCTAGATAAGTAATCTAGACTCTCCTGCTATTTTGCTTGACAATTTCTCCAGTGTGTAATAGAAGTTTGACTCCTGTATCGGTTTCACTCGAGTCAAGACTCGACAATTAAGCCACCAATTGGGGAAAATATGATGCCAAATATACTGCTGAATTAAAGGAAATTACATTTTAATCAGATCACTTCGTACCTTCTAACACCACTTGAGGGTGATAGTTTCTGGTAATCAGGCCTGGAGGCCACTTACCAAGTAGGTCTATAGGGAAAATAATAATTTCCTTATTAGTCCTATAGGGAAAATAATTTTCCCTATAGGCCTATAGGGAAATAATTAGGACTGTAAGGAAATGTTGAGAAAATATTAGTTTTTTTTTTATTATTACTATTATCACACCGGCCGATTCCCACCAAGGCAGGGTGGCCCGAAAAAGAAAAACTTTCACCATCATTCACTCCATCACTGTCTTGCCAGAAGGGTGCTTTACACTACAGTTTTTAAACTGCAACATTAACACCCCTCCTTCAGAGTGCAGGCACTGTACTTCCCATCTCCAGGACTCAAGTCCGGCCTGCCGGTTTCCCTGAATCCCTTCATAAATGTTACTTTGCTCACACTCCAACAGCACGTCAAGTATTAAAAACCATTTGTCTCCATTCACTCCTATCAAACACGCTCACGCATGCCTGCTGGAAGTCCAAGCCCCTCGCACACAAAACCTCCTTTACCCCCTCCCTCCAACCCTCCTAGGCCGACCCCTACCCCGCCTTCCTTCCACTACAGACTGATACACTCTTGAAGTCATTCTGTTTCGCTCCATTCTCTCTACATGTCCGAACCACCTCAACAACCCTTCCTCAGCCCTCTGGACAACAGTTTTGGTAATCCCGCACCTCCTCCTAACTTCCAAACTACGAATTCTCTGCATTATATTCACACCACACATTGCCCTCAGACATGACATCTCCACTGCCTCCAGCCTTCTCCTCGCTGCAACATTCATCACCCACGCTTCACACCCATATAAGAGCGTTGGTAAAACTATACTCTCATACATTCCCCTCTTTGCCTCCAAGGACAAAGTTCTTTGTCTCCACAGACTCCTAAGTGCACCACTCACTCTTTTCCTCATCAATTCTATGATTCACCTCATCTTTCATAGACCCATCTGCTGACACGTCCACTCCCAAATATCTGAATACGTTCACCTCCTCCATACTCTCTCCCTCCAATCTGATATTCAATCTTTCATCACCTAATCTTTTTGTTATCCTCATAACCTTACTCTTTCCTGTATTCACCTTTAATTTTCTTCTTTTGCACACCCTACCAAATATTCATCCACCAATCTCTGCAACTTCTCTTCAGAATCTCCCAAGAGCACAGTGTCATCAGCAAAGAGCAGCTGTGACAACTCCCCCTTTGTGTGTGATTCTTTATCTTTTAACTCCACGCCTCTTGCCAAGACCCTCGCATTTACTTCTCTTACAACCCCATCTATAAATATATTAAACAACCACGGTGACATCACACATCCTTGTCTAAGGCCTACTTTTACTGGGAAAAAATTTCCCTCTTTCCTACATACTCTAACTTGAGCCTCACTATCCTCGTAAAAACTCTTCACTGCTTTCAGTAACCTACCTCCTACACCATACACTTGCAACATCTGCCACATTGCCCCCCTATCCACCCTGTCATACGCCTTTTCCAAATCCATAAATGCCACAAAGACCTCTTTAGCCTTATCTAAATACTGTTCACTTATATGTTTCACTGTAAACACCTGGTCCACACACCCCCTACCTTTCCTAAAGCCTCCTTGTTCATCTGCTATCCTATTCTCCGTCTTACTCTTAATTCTTTCAATTATAACTCTACCATACACTTTACCAGGTACACTCAACAGACTTATCCCCCTATAATTTTTGCACTCTCTTTTATCCCCTTTGCCTTTATACAAAGGAACTATGCATGCTCTCTGCCAATCCCTAGGTACCTTACCTTCTTCCATACATTTATTAAATAATTGCACCAACCACTCCAAAACTATATCCCCACCTGCTTTTAACATTTCTATCTTTATCCCATCAATCCCGGCTGCCTACCCCCTTTCATTTTACCTACTGCCTCACGAACTTCCCCCACACTCACAACTGGCTCTTCCTCACTCCTACAAGATGTTATTCCTCCTTGCCCTATACACGAAATCACAGCTTCCCTATCTTCATCAACATTTAACAATTCCTCAAAATATTCCTTCCATCTTCCCAATACCTCTAACTCTCCATTTAATAACTCTCCTCTCCTATTTTTAACTGACAAATCCATTTGTTCTCTAGGCTTTCTTAACTTGTTAATCTCACTCCAAAACTTTTTCTTATTTTCAACAAAATTTGTTGATAACATCTCACCCACTCTCTCATTTGCTCTCTTTTTACATTGCTTCACCACTCTCTTAACTTCTCTCTTTTCTCCATATACTCTTCCCTCCTTGCATCACTTCTACTTTGTAAAAACTTCTCATATGCTAACTTTTTCTCCCTTACTACTCTCTTTACATCATCATTCCACCAATCGCTCCTCTTCCCTCCTGCACCCACTTTCCTGTAACCACAAACTTCTGCTGAACACTCTAACACTACATTTTTAAACCTACCCCATACCTCTTCGACCCCATTGCCTATGCTCTCATTAGCCCATCTATCCTCCAATAGCTGTTTATATCTTACCCTAACTGCCTCCTCTTTTAGTTTATAAACCTTCACCTCTCTCTTCCCTGATGCTTCTATTCTCCTTGTATCCCATCTACCTTTTACTCTCAGTGTAGCTACAACTAGAAAGTGATCTGATATATCTGTGGCCCCTCTATAAACATGTACATCCTGAAGTCTACTCAACAGTCTTTTATCTACCAATACATAATCCAACAAACTACTGTCATTTCGCCCTACATCATATCGTGTATACTTATTTATCCTCTTTTTCTTAAAATATGTATTACCTATAACTAAACCCCTTTCTATACAAAGTTCAAATCAAAGGGCTCCCATTATCATTTACACCTGGCACCCCCAAACTTACCTACCACACCCTCTCTAAAAGTTTCTCCTACTTTAGCATTCAAGTCCCCTACCACAATTACCTCTCACTTGGTTCAAGGCCCTATACATTCACTTAACATCTCCCAAAATCTCTCTCTCTCCTCTGCATTCCTCTCTTCTCCAGGTGCATACACGCTTATTATGACCCACTTCTCGCATCCAACCTTTACTTTAATCCACATAATTCTTGAATTTACACATTCATATTCTCTTTTCTCCTTCCATAACTGATCATTTAACATTACTGCTACCCCTTCCTTTGCTCTAACTCTCTCAGATACTCCAGATTTAATCCCATTTATTTCCCCCACTGAAACTCTCCTACCCCCTTCAGCTTTGTTTCGCTTAGGGCCAGACATCCAACTTCTTTCATTCATAACATCAGCAATCATCTGTTTCTTGTCATCCGCACTACATCCACGCACATTTAAGCAACCCAGTTTTATAAAGTTTTTCTTCTTCTCTTTTTTAGTAATTGTATACAGGAGAAGGGGTTACTAGCCCATTGCTCCCGGCATTTTAGTCGCCTCATACGACACGCATGGCTTACGGAGGAAAGATTCTTTTCCACTTCCCCATGGACAATAGAAAGAAATAAAAAAGAACAAGAGCTATTTAGAAAAAGGAGAAAAACCTAGATGTATGTATATATATATATGCATGTGCGTGTCTGTGAAGTGTGACCAAAGTGTAAGTAGGAGTAGCAAGATATCCCTGTTATCTTAGCGTGTTTATGAGACAGAAAAAGAAACCAGCAATCCTACCATCATGCAAAACAGTTACAGGTTTTTGTTTCACAGTCATCTGGCAGGACGGTAGTACTTCCCTGGGTGGTTGCTGTCTACCAACCTACTACCTTGGAAAATATTAGTCTGATAAGGAAATTATTAGGATGATAGGGAAACCAACAGGTTGGCAGGGAAAAGGGTCAGTGCCAGACTAACCAGGCTGTGATGGATTTGTGGTCCAATGGGCTACTAACAGCAACTGCCTGGGTGACCAGGCAAGCACCAGACAAGCTTAGCCTAAGGCTAAGCTTGTCTGGAGAAGGAAAAATCTCCAGAAACCAGTTAAAAGTATTTTCAGGCACATGTATATGTGGCCTGTGGAAAAATGGTCTGTAGGGATGTAAAGTACATGAATGTGGGAATCTGTCTTGCATAAGCATGGAGGAACACTGCAGCAGGCCTACTGACCCATACATGACAGGTTCTAAGGCTATATTTGCAGTTGTACAATACCAGAAGGTGAACAATATTATTAAAATTTATTCAAATTTTGCATCTGTTTTAGGCCTTAACTCTGGTATTGTATTTTGGTTTTATGTTTCAGCATGCCCGGAGGGTTACTTTGGGCGTCAATGTTTAAACGTTTGCAACTGTAGTACAGACAATTTTATATGTCATCCAGTGGAAGGCTGCAAGTGCAGATATGGTTTTGAAGGTATGTGCTGTATGTTATGACACTGAAACTGTATTAAGCTTTGAGATTTTATGTCCTATGAGAAGATTGTTGCTGTTATTTGTATTTATTCTGTATTTTTCAACACACTGAGGCAAGGTGACCCATAAAAGAAACATTCACCATCATTTACACTATCACTGCCTTGCCAGAGCGCATGGATATGACATTTGAGATGCACCTTGAAGCATCAAATATCCCAAACCCCTCCTTGAGAGTGCAGGCACCAGCCATCTTCCACCAAGGCAGGTGACCTAAAAAGAAAATTATTATTCTTACATTTAGTAATTTATACAGAAGTTACTAGCCCCTTGCTCCAGGCATGTCTCTTAAGACATACATGGCTTATGGAGGAAAGATTCTTTTCTACCTTTACAGCCACATATAGGTGAGTATACAGTACACAAGTACTTAACAGTGTACTATGAAACTTAATGTGTACCTTGAGGAATTGGGAGATATATAAATATAGGTTAACAAAAATAAAAAAAAATTATGAATGTGGTAATGATGCAGCACATCAGACATGGTGCATGAAATAAGGTGAAATCCCTTCATGGTACCTTGATGTTAACCCTTAAACTGTCCAAACATAGATCTACATTTTTTCAACATTTGAAAGTATGTAAAAAAAGTAATTTTTTTTTTTTTTAAATTTGAAAACTTTGATCTACTTTTTTTTTTTTTTTTTTTTTTTTTTTTGTTATACATGTATTTGAAAATATGTAAAAAAAACGTAGATGTACTTTTGGAGCACTACGCATGTGAATGTAGATCTGCTTGGACAGTTTAAGGGTTAAACTGTTCTTGAGCCAAAGAATTGGAAATATTCTCCTTTTCAGTGGATTGAATCTGATTGCCTCACATTGCTGTGGCACTGCATGTTACTCCTGTGGGTTGAATGCTGACCATGAATTAAAAGTAAGAATATGACTCCACAGATTAAACTGGTTTTCTGAGTTACTGTTTCAGTTTTAAGTAAATTTACACTTTATAACACCTGCTGTTTCCCACCAAGATAGGGTGACAAAAAAAAAAAAAAAAAAAAAAAAAAAAAAAAAAAAAAAATATGGAAAGACCATCCCAGATTTTCGGCTTGGTTCATGTAGCTGCTTTTTTTTTTTTTTTTTTTTCTTTTCATGTTACATAGTGGTAATTTATTTATAGTCATAATAACCATCTGTCACTGCACCTGCTCAACTTATCCAAGTCCTCACAGGATATCTGCATCATCAGTAAACCCTTGTATAGTTTTTCAACTAATTCTAACAATAATTTTTTAATTATCAGTACTAACACTTTGTAACTCTGATAACATTCTTCTGTGAGGTAATGTTCTTCCTCTTGTTCTAATTTTTTCTCAAAACAGCCAAATGTATTCCTTGAAAGTTTTGCAGTTTCATTATTAATCTTTCCTGGGGGGGCTTTATCAAAGCTTTTTGGGGACCCAACTAAATGTTTTTTTTTTTTTTATGTAACTACCTATTTTAGTATGCAAGTAGATCTCCAATTCTTGGTCCTACTTTGACTTTTTACCAACTGACATTAATTCACTGTCATTTCCATTTTTTTTTATTTCTATTATGGCATCTACATCTACTGTAATTGCTCAGATTATTCCACTTCTTTACCTTTCCATTTTGTTTTTAAAGGCATTTCCCATCAAGGCAGAGTGACCCAGAAAAGCAACACTTTCATCACTCACTCCATCACTGTATTGCCAGAGGCATGCCAGTACTAAATGTTTCTAATGTCCTTGTGTGTAATTGTAATTGATTTTGCAAATACCGAGCTTTTTCTCTCTATTTTCAAGTGAATAAAGAGTGAAACTTATAATACCAACTTATGTAGAGTCTGCTTCCACTGTCGTTGCTCAGCGCATTCCATTTATTTACCACTTATGTTGAAATGTTTTTTGATATGTGACTTCTTGTTTCACTGGCAAAGATCCCATCTTTGTCTTCCTTATGCTCCGCATTATTTTGTATGTTCCATATTCCTCCAGTGACACGAGTCCTAGTTCTAGCATTCTTTGTAAGTCATTCCTCTCATTGCAGGCACCTGTCTTGATCTCTTTTGTGGGTTTTGGCCAGGATTTGATTCTTTAGGCAGATTTGACTGTTTTGCTGGTACTGTATCATGCTGTTTATTTTGGTAATGTCTTTTAATATACAGTATATGTTCAAGAACTACTAGTAACTTTCCTTACTGCAGCTTCTTTAATATTCTAGTGACAAAGAGAATGGAGTTTTTTTATATGGTTTAGTCTTGTCCATATAGAATAATATCCCTATAGACTAATATTTCAGGTTCTGTGAAGCATTATAAACTACTGCTGTTTCAGTGCCATTCATCCTCTATTGAGGTCAAAACCATTATTTATTAATATATTATGGACAAAAATAATTTTTATACAAATTTCACCTACTTTCAGGTGACATGTGTGATATTCCCATAACAAGTCCTATTATAAAGGAGCAAGATCCAGTTTTACCCAATCCCTCAGGACCCAATAATGCTGGTCTCATTGTTGCTGTTGTTTCCATCATTCTTATCACCATTGTTATTGCTATTACTATTTACTACAAGTAAGTTTGACTGTATTACCTGTACATCATTTAATTACTATCCTTACACATGATAAATAGTTAATCATACATTTTAATGCATAGTGGCATTGAAAAATCAAAGTTCATTTTTATAAAGTGAAATACAGTATAAGACATGACATGACTAAATTACCTTATGGAGTGTTTTGGGTATCCTTAAAATTAACTTGGTTAATGGATAAATTTACAATTTAATCAGAATGCTATAGTTAAATTGAATTCTCTTATTTTATAGAATTTAGTTACTTAAACACCTCAAAGGATGATGCTTGTCGCTGGTGAGGGTCTCTTGATCTAGGGAATTGGATCTATGCTCTGGTTCCCTGAATAGAGCCTGAATACCTTCCATCCCTCCCCCCACATGCACTGTATAATCCTACGGGTTTAGTGCTCCCTGATGATTATAATATACATATAATCAGTTGTTTAATTATATAATCCTACATTAATCTTTCAAAATTAGAATTAAATTAATCTGAGTAAGCACCTAATGTATTAAATACGGTCATCCCCCACTTAGGAAGTGCCTATTTAAAGTAGTTTCACACTTCAGTTAGATATATTAAGAAACAAGTTCACTTGGCAACCACCCATACTTGCCTAGCAACCTAAAGACTCTCTCATAGCAGCTCACACCAGTTGGGTGGGAATATGTACCACTTCCTGGACAAACTTTTATGAACCTTGGCCATAGTCACAAACTAAGATTGAGTGTGTTGTGGGGGTATATAAGACTATATAACAGTATTAAAAACAAAATGGCACAATACTGTGACTGCAACAATGGTGCTAATAAAGGATGTTTTCACCAGTTTATGAAATATTAGTTTTATTAGTATTATAATTTATTAGTGTTATCATTAGTATTATTATTAGTAGTGGTATTAATAGTATTAGTAGTTTTTGTAGGGTGTATTATTAGTGGTGGTGGTAGTGTTAGTAATGGTAGCACTAGTAGTAATTATTAACCCTTTGAGGGTTGAGAGGCCCTCTCCCAAACTTGTTCTCAGGATCGAAAAATTTTTGAAAAAAAAAAAAAAAAAAAAAAAAAGTTTTTCTTACGAAATGACAATCTTTTTTCGATCATAATGACACCAAAAGTATGAAATTTGATGGAATACCTACTGAATTATGGTCTCGTGAAGTTAGAGATCTCGACGATATTTACGCATCAGCAATTTTGCCCACTTTGAGCCCTATTTTCAGCCAACTGCAGTGTTCCAGTTGACGAAAATCGTAGCTATTTCACTAGAACTCTATTTGTTCTATCGATTGAGTACCAGAAACTGCCCATTTAGCAATTTCAATTGCCCAGTAAAGAGGTCAGAAATTGGCAGTTTGGCAAGTTTCACACAAATTTCAAAAGGTGCCAATTTCAAAATAGGGCCCAGAATAAACCAGACAGACATTTCTGGCACTAAAATAACATTTTATCTGTTCATTAGTCACATCTCCAGGCCCCTCTTACATTACTTTTGCTTTCCGTTTTGAATTTTTATTCTCGCAAAATATAGAAGATTTACCGTTATGTATACTACTGCATCATTGTAAAAACAGTATAAATAATATCAGCGCACTTGTGAAGGAATATTAGACTCGCCAGTTGATGTGTACTGGACGCACAGCATGATTTGTTTACTCTTGAACATCGGCAAAAATCGAACATTTTCGCTACTTTGAGTTCGATTTCAAGGTACTTATCAACGTGAAACCAATCAAAATCACATTGTACATCTCCTTTATCAATAACAAAAAACGAATAAACTAAAATACATACAAAAATCACTGAGTCGCGGACTGTTTTAAACCAAAAACAGTGTCAGTTTTTTCTCTCATTATGCACTGTGTACTTCAGGATTTTTTTCATACTGCACACACTGACCATGCTGACCTATTCTTTCATATGTAGGCTTGCCAGCTTTCTTCCACCGGATTTGAAGGTGCTAGAATTTATGCGTACGAGTATGGGACTGACCCTCAAAGGGTTAATACAGTATTACACTAGTCACCACCTATTCCCCCATTTTCATGGTGTGGGGATGCACTTCCCAGAAAAGATAAAGCACATTAACAAAGAGCCTTAAAAATGGCACTGTTAATTTGTTAAACGACCTAGCCTTTCCTTGGCCGAAGTCACTACTTTGATCAAGAAACTTTCCACTTAGTTCGGTACCTCAAGCTGAAGACCATTGTGTAATAGTGGTTACTCATTGCTTGGTTGAAAACTGTTTGCTGTATTAGTAGTATGATAAGCTGCTATTGGTTTGTTACTGTATTATTCTAGTGGTTTATAGGTGTAGTTTCACAAGACTAATGGGTTATTATTTCAGGCGCAGATTAATGAGACTGAAGCGAGAGTTAGCGGTGGTTCAGTACATTGCCGATCCTGCAGCCACAGGTACGATATAATGCTTTTATGGTTCAACTTTCTTCATGATTCATACTTCATGGATGTTTAAATGTTGATGGTATGTTTTTTCTTTGTATTCAGCAGTCTTAAATGTCTGAGAGATCTGGGTTGTCTTTGGTTTAGTTTATAGTGCTGTACTGAGAAAAGTGCTGCTAAATGAATATTTAAGGTAGTACAGTGGTAAGACACATCGGCAACAGTTAGGCATCTTTATACGGAAACGTTTGGCCTAATGTGTAGGCCAAATGTTTCGGTATAAAATGCCTAACTGTTGCCTGTGTGTCTTATTGCCAACCTGTCGGTATTGTATACCATTTTGATATTCAAGGCAATACAGTAAAGTCTTTATTAACCAAGAATTTGAAGAATAGAAAATATATTTACCTAGACAGTTGTCAGTGACTTCAGAAACTCTGAACTTTGAACCCTGACAGTTGCGAGCAACTTTTAATGTTTGAGCTTCAATTTCTACTATGCCTTCTTAATCAAACCTAAATACTTACAAAATTTACGTTAATGAAATCTTTTTCCATAATGGAATAAATATTTCATATAAGGTTTGGTCTAAAATTTGCTACATTGAATGGGTATTATATAAGTAAAAAGTAGAGCACATTAGGACACCACAATTCCATACTTTACAGTGCTGGGAAATTTATGCTTTTGCCAAGCCCTCTGAGAGTACTTTTTCAGGAAAAAGTAAAATCCAGGAACAAAGTTTCCTGGGGTTTTGGCCTCTTGTCTAAATTAGATTAAACACTTGCTAAAGGTCCTAGGTAGTAGGTTGGTAGACAGCAACCGCCCAGGGAGGTACTACCGTCCTGCCAAGTGAGTGTAAAACGAAAGCCTGTAATTGTTTTACATGATGGTAGGATTGCTGGTGTCCATTTTTCTGTCTCGCAAACACGCAAGGTTTCAGGTACGTCTTGCTACTTCTACTTACACTTAGGTAACACTACGCATTACATGTACAAGCATGTATATACACACCCCGCTGGGTTTTCTTTTATTTTCTTACTAGTTCTTGTTCTTGTTTATTTCCTCTTGCCTCCATGGGGAAGTGGACTAGAATTCTTCCTCCGTAAGCCATGCATGTTGTAAGAGGCGACTAAAATGCCAGGAGCAAGGGGCTAGTAACCCCCTTCTCGTGTATATATTACTAAATGTAAAAGGAGAAACTTTTGTTTTTCCTTTTGGGCCACCCCTGCCTCGGTGGGATATGGCCGGCATGTTTTAAAAAAAAAAAAAAAAAAAAAAAAAAAAAAAAACTTGCTAAAGGTCTGCATTTAGGAAATAGAGGCAGACACCTTGCCAAGGTAAGTATATTAACTACTTTGTATTAAAATGACATAGTATTTAGATACAGTAAAGCATACAGCTATAAATACATACCTAGTACATAATTGCTATACTTATAATTTATTCTGAAGCAGTTCTCAGTTGTGTGCCCTTTCCTAATTTTCCCAGTTATGGTATGTACTATGGTGGATTACCTAAATGACAGACTGTAGTTGGTATATTTTCCTTTCTTGTAGATCCAAGAATTTATAGAATAAAATATAAAAACTACAGTATACAAATTTCAAAACAATGAAAAAATATTGTACCATAAGTTGCTGTTTGTCCCCTTTTAAATCCTTGGACAGTAGTTACAAATTTTGTAGAGGATTTAACTTTTATTAGAGGTAGAAAGGAGGTGAAGAAGAGAGAATATAGTGCAGCACTCTTATGATTGATGACATGTTTGTGACATTCCTTTACCTTGTCGATTAATACAAGACCAGAAAGAGGCATGGCATTGCTGCTAAGCCGACATAACTACTGATACTTTGTCAAGAATATTGCTAGCAGCCCCATGTATTGTATCGTTTTTCAATTTGTAGAGTACCATACCATTCAATGTCATGGTCTGCATACAACCTAAAAATCTGTTTCTACTGTTTCACATCATACACTGGGTTTTCAATACCGTGCACAAATCTAGTATTGCTTATTTTAAGATTCGGTTTCTTGAGTAATGAGGCATTCTGATAGTAGGCAGATTCCTTGCTTTCTTGGCTGCACTGTGCTATCCCTATTTTAATAATGTTACTTCTGTCAGGACTTATTGCTCATCTAACTTATTTAATGCTTTTATCTTGCTTGTCAGGAGTACAAGCAAGCTAAACAGATACGTTATAGAATTTGGAGACTCGGTCAACATTTAACGCATGTAATTCTGTGAAACTCTGGGAAATATTGTACTTGTTCTCTCATTTTGTGCTTTCTAAACATACCCTCAAGTTAGTCTGTGGACTTGTGTGCCTCACCTGATCTATAAAATAAATTAGTACTACCGACATAGTCCTAGTCTTTTTACATTAACCAGTGTTGTGTGTAATGCTGTATCAGCATGCTTTAAAAATGTTATCCTGTTTGTGTTGTATGTGGAAAAATACACAAATATGGTATGATGCAATTCTTTATTGACTGATTTGCCATCAGTGAGCTTATCAAGCCCACTGATGGCACTTTGCCCACTTTGCCTACAGTGGGCTTGATCAAGCCCATGTGAGCAAAACGTATTCAATAAAGAATCTCGGTATACTGCACGTGTCTTTTTCCACTGTGTCAGTATTTCATACCATTTATCTGTATTGTATGTGATTCCTTTGGTCAAGTGAATTTGATTTGTTCTTGGATATCTTAGCAGTCTACTACTGTATTTGCAAAGAATATTTTGTTGTCCTTTCAGTATCTCTTATGGCTCTTTGTTCTGTGTTATAAATAGTAACCATTTTATTTATATTACTGTATTCTTTTATCTTGTGTGATAATCTCTTCTAATTATCAGTCAGAAGGTGCATTTTCATTATCTCCGGATTATTGAAAATCGTATTTCTTAGCTCTGGGAACCATTTTGTGATATTTTTTGGGGAAACCGACTACTACTGTATATTGCAATTTTGATTTAATGACTTGTGTACTGTAGTAATTTTAAGTATTTCCTTCTTTCCTATCTTTATGCTTGTTCCTTCCACTTAATTTATTTACTGTAACATTATTAGGTTTTCTGTAATTACTTATCTTAAGTTTGAGGAGAAAGAGAGAAGGAAGTGGTGGGAAGCTCCAGATCTTGGTCCATGTAAGCCAGTGCTGGCATTTAACATTTACGAAAGATAGACCAGTGTTGCTAAAAAATTAATAGGCTTGTTCCCAAATTAATGACTAATAGCAAAGCTAAAGAAACTTGTTAGAAACAATGAGAGAATTTAAACCAAAAAAAAAAAAAAAAAAAAAATTTGCTTTCTTAACCTGTTTTCTAACAGGGAGTTGTTGGTTTGTCTTTAGCTTGCATAAGCTCCCAGTCTCTTTTTTTTTTGATGTGGAAAGTTCTTTTTAATATAATGGTGGATTTGATTAATGGCAGAGATTAACAAGTTAAGAAAGCCTAGAGAACAAATGGATTTGTCAGTTAAAAATAGGAGAGGAGAGTTATTAAATGGAGAGTTAGAGATATTGGGAAGATGGAGGGAATATTTTGAGGAATTGTTAAATGTTGATGAAGATAGGAAGCTGTGATTTCGTGTATAGGACAAGGAGGAATAACATCTTGTAGGAGTGAGGAAGAGCCAGTTGTGAGTGTGGGGGAAGTTCGTGAGGCAGTAGGTAAAATGAAAGGGGGTAAGGCAGCCGGGATTGATGGGATAAAGATAGAAATGTTAAAAGCAGGTGGAGTTTACCTGGAGAGAGTTTCGGGGGTCAACGCCCCCGCGGCCCGGTCTGTGACCAGGCCTCCTGGTGGATCAGCGCCTGATCAACCAGGCTGTTGCTGCTGGCTGCACGCAAACCAACGTACGAGCCACAGCCCGGCTGATCAGGAACTGACTTTAGGTGCTTGTCCAGTGCCAGCTTGAAGACTGCCAGGGGTCTGTTGGTAATCCCCCTTATGTGTGCTGGGAGGCAGTTGAACAGTCTCGGGCCCCTGACACTTATTGTATGGTCTCTTAACGTGCTAGTGACACCCCTGCTTTTCATTGGGGGGATGGTGCATCGTCTGCCAAGTCTTTTGCTTTCGTAGTGAGTGATTTTCGTGTGCAAGTTCGGTACAGTCCCTCTAGGATTTTCCAGGTGTATATAATCATGTATCTCTCCCTCCTGCGTTCCAGGGAATACAGGTTTAGAAACCTCAAGCGCTCCCAGTAATTGAGGTGTTTTATCTCCGTTATGCGCGCCGTGAAAGTTCTCTGTACATTTTCTAGGTCGGCAATTTCACCTGCCTTGAAAGGTGCTGTTAGAGTGCAGCAATATTCCAGCCTAGATAGAACAAGTGACCTGAAGAGTGTCATCATGGGCTTGGCCTCCCTAGTTTTGAAGGTTCTCATTATCCATCCTGTCATTTTTCTAGCAGATGCGATTGATACAATGTTATGGTCCTTGAAGGTGAGGGATATAGTTTTGGAGTGGTTGGTGCAATTATTTAATAAATGTATGGAAGAGGGTAAGGTACCTAGGGATTGGCAGAGAGCATGCATAGTTCCTTTGTATAAAGGCGAAGGGGATAAAAGAGAGTGCAAAAATTATAGGGGGAGAAGTCTGTTGAGTATACCTGGTAAAGTGTATGGTAGAGTTATAATTGAAAGAATTAAGATTAAGACGGAGAATAGGATAGCAGATGAACAAGGAGGCTTTAGGAAAGGTAGAGGGTGTGTGGACCAGGTGTTTACAGTGAAACATATAAGTGAACAGTATTTAGATAAGGCTAAAGAGGTCTTTGTGGCATTTATGGATTTGGAAAAGGCGTATGACAGGGTGGATAGGGGGCAATGTGGCAGATGTTGCAAGTGTATGGTGTAGGAGGTAGGTTACTGAAAGCAGTGAAGAGTTTTTACGAGGATAGTGAGGCTCAAGTTAGAGTATGTAGGAAAGAGGGAAATTTTTTCCCAGTAAAAGTAGGCCTTAGACAAGGATGTGTGATGTCACCGTGGTTGTTTAATATATTTATAGATGGGGTTGTAAGAGAAGTAAATGCGAGGGTCTTGGCAAGAGGCGTGGAGTTAAAAGATAAAGAATCACACACAAAATGGGAGTTGTCACAGCTGCTCTTTGCTGATGACACTGTGCTCTTGGGAGATTCTGAAGAGAAGTTGCAGAGATTGGTGGATGAATTTGGTAGGGTGTGCAAAAGAAGAAAATTAAAGGTGAATACAGGAAAGAGTAAGGTTATGAGGATAACAAAAAGATTAGGTGATGAAAGATTGAATATCAGATTGGAGGGAGAGAGTATGGAGGAGGTGAACGTATTCAGATATTTGGGAGTGGACGTGTCAGCGGATGGGTCTATGAAAGATGAGGTGAATCATAGAATTGATGAGGGAAAAAGAGTGAGTGGTGCACTTAGGAGTCTGTGGAGACAAAGAACTTTGTCCTTGGAGGCAAAGAGGGGAATGTATGAGAGTATAGTTTTACCAACGCTCTTATATGGGTGTGAAGCGTGGGTGATGAATGTTGCAGCGAGGAGAAGGCTGGAAGCAGTGGAGATGTCATGTCTGAGGGCAATGTGTGGTGTGAATATAATGCAGAGAATTCGTAGTTTGGAAGTTAGGAGGAGGTGCGGGATTACCAAAACTGTTGTCCAGAGGGCTGAGGAAGGGTTGTTGAGGTGGTTCGGACATTGAGAGAGAATGGAGCGAAACAGAATGACTTCAAGAGTGTATCTGTCTGTAGTGGAAGGAAGGCGGGGTAGGGGTCGGCCTAGGAAAGGTTGGAGGGAGGGGGTTAAAGGAGGTTTTGTGTGCGAGGGGCTTGGACTTCCAGCAGGCGTGCGTGAGCGTGTTTAATAGGAGTGAATGGAGACAAATGGTTTTTAATACTTGACGTGCTGTTGGAGTGTGAGCAAAGTAACATTTATGAAGGGATTCAGGGAAACTGGCAGGCCGGACTTGAGTCCTGGAGATGGGAAGTACAGTGCCTGCACTCTGAAGGAGGGGTGTTAATGTTGCAGTTTAAAAACTGTAGTGTAAAGCACCCTTCTGGCAAGACAGTGATGGAGTGAATGATGGTGAAAGTTTTTCTTTTTTGGGCCACCCTGCCTTGGTGGGAATCGGCCAGTGTGATAATAAAATAAATAAAAAAATTAATTAACGAGTAAACCATCTTTACTAAGTAGTAAATGAAATGGTGATCATTTCTGAGGAAAATGTCGTACTCTTTGTACTTGTACAGTCGGTTGTCACCAAACCTCGGAGGATAGTCTTCTAACCTTGTTTTTTTTTTTTTTTTTTTTTTTTCATTTTTATATTGAATTTTAAAGCCTGTGAAGAGGCTATCTATATATCTTGCATTGCCAAGGATTTTAAACCTAGGATGTTTTGGTTGAGCTGAATTTTCTGGATACTGACAAGGCACAGTTTCACGAATTTTACATTAGGGAATTGAGCCAGAAATATCCCAAAATTCTACCCTCTAAAGTACAGTAAAATTTGTATTTCACTTATTTTGGTAATAAATAGTGGTTTGAAGCTTCTAACATATTTTGTTAAATGTATCTTGTTAACAAAAAATGTTACACGTTAACTTAGGGATTTAGCACGTTAGATCGTGGTGGGAGCGAGTTTTGGGATTTTGTGCTGTTAGTGAGAGCGTGATAATACCTGTGGAAGAATTAATGCAAACTGGTGAGCCAGACACTAGGTTTGGAGATGGCAGTAATGGCTGCTTTCTGAATGCCTGGTGGGGATGTTGCAATTAAGTGGGGCAGAAAGTAAATATCTGTGTATTTCTGGAAAGATGGCTTGGGTGCAGTGATGCATTTTTTTTGTTTGGGTCGCCCATCCTCGGTGAGAATGGCTGTTAAAAACTGCATTTGTAGTTTAACCCTTTGACTGTCGAAGGGCCAAATCCTGAAGTTGCTTCTGGTGTCGCAAAATATTCGAAAAAAAAAAAAATTATTTTTTCTTATGAAATGATAGAGAATCTTTTCCCGATTGTAAAGACACCAAAAAAACGAAATTTGATGGAAAACTGACGGAATTACGCTCTCGCGAAGTTAGCGACTTCGGCGATATTTAAAAATCGGCAATTTCGCCCACTTTGAGCCCTATTTTTGGCTAATTCCGTTATTCCAGTCAACCAAACTCATAACTATTTCTTCAGAACTCTATTTTTTCCATCGATTGAGTACAAGAAACTGCCCATTTACCGATTTCAACTACCCAATAACATGGTCAGAAATTTGCAATTTGGCCAATTTCACGAAAATTAAAAAATATGACAATTTCAAAATAAGGTCCAGAATGAACAATGCAGACATTCCTGGCTCTAAAATAACATTTTCTTTGTTCATCAGTCATGTCTCCAGGTCCCTGTGATATTACTCTTGCTTTTTATTTTGAAATTTTATTCAAACAAAAAATAGAAGATTTACTGTTATTGCAGACTACTGCAATACTGTAATAATTGTAAAAATTACATCAACCCATTCATGACTGCGTATTAGAATGGCTATTTGGACATTTATTGGACAATGACATCATTTGTTCACTTTTGAACATCGGCAAAAATCAAACATTTCCTGTACTTTGTGCTCCATTTCCAGGTTCTTTTTATAGTAAAATTAATCAAAATCACCTCCATTTCTATAATATAGTTTCCATTCTATCAAATGAGACCAAGAAAACGAGAATACAACCACAAATACTATACGAAAATAGACCACAAAGTCGGTATTTTAATTAAAAAAAAACGGTCGGAGTTTTTTTTTTCTCATTATGCACTGCGTGCTCCAGGGTTTTTTTTATGTGGTGCACACTGACCACACAGACCCATTCTCTCACATGTGGGCCTACTAGCTTTCTCCTGCCTGATTTGAAGCCGCTAGAATTTATGAGTATATATACGTCAAACACGGTACCTCGCAAACGTATATATACGGCCGCGACAGTCAAAGGGTTAATTGAAAAGTTTTTTTTTTTTTTAATTACACTTTATTTTCAACAGCTCTACACAAGATTTTTATTTAAATTTTCCGTGTCCAAGTGCAAAATAATGGTATCCTAATTGTGGTTAGTGTTACCTGTATCCTGACATTTAATAACATCAATAATTGGTAGGTGCTTGAGTGAAGCTGTATTTCTAAGGCAAAGATTATTGAGCAAAATAATGCTTAATAAACCAGAGAATGGGAATGATTTTAAAAATAAATTATGCCCTTAAATATTTTGCTTCAATTTGTTTACAGTATTTCATTTAACACATGCACACATGCACAAGAAGGTTTGTAATCAAACACTGATGAAGTATTTTCTTTCATAATTTGACTTCTGCAGTATTACACTTTTCATTGTAAATGCATTTATGCAGTGCATTGTTATAAAATAGCTTTGATCTTGAGACTACATAAAAATGTTGCATCGGCTGGGTAAATTAACTATGCTGATGAAAATGTAATCGATTAAATGACTTAATTTTGTAATGTAATTACTTATACTGTATAACAACTTTAGTTCTGGAAGTGGAAAGTAGTGCTAGCACTCAGAAAGATGGGTGGTGATGCTGTTAATTAGAAGGTCATTTGAATTGAAATGTTTGTGTATTTTTGGCAAGATGGCTAGAAAATGAATTAGGGTTAATGTCTTTCCTTCTTGGGCCACCCTACCTTGGTGGGAATCTGGTAGTGTTTAAAAAAAAAAATATAGTAATCTACTGTGATCTAACAATGATTCTTTTAATACCTCTGTAATACCACTCACAGGATGAGCTGAAGTGTACAATACACTGTTTGTCATGAGTCAATAAATTTACTGTAACTATTTTATGGATATATTGTACTCAAAGCCCAGGTGCTGATGAGATGCATGTGACTATGGGTTGTTGAGAAGGGGTGCACCCCTTGAGATGGGATTGGAGTTTCCTAAAAAATAGAGATGGATCATCTTTGTATTACAGTTTTGATTTAGGAGTTAGATTCTAATGCATGGCAAGTAGTTGAATTGGTTGTTTATATATTAATACTATTAATACAGTTTGTGAACTTAGGATTGTGTGTAATAGTAGACAAGTGTGAAATTAACCCTTAAAAACTTTATATAACAATAAATATTTGCATCTATGATCCTACAGCTTTGTGTGTGTATTGGAAGATTTTACCTTCTCTTTCTCTACTTGCACGCTTACTCACTCTAGAGCGTCCCAAGGCAATTGAGAGTAGAGAGAGCACAAAACTTCGTGCTGCCAATAAGCTCTCACAGAAGTCTGGTGAGATGGTTCTCTATCATTGTTTACTCTCTACTGTTGTTTTTGTGTTGTAATCCTATTAATTTTCCTTGTTTGGATTTTTATCCTTTTTCACTCACGTGCTTCAGGTTAAGTACACGATTAGTTGTTGTAAATGCAGTAAAATTTTAAATGAAGTACATGATGTCCATTTTTACAGAATAGACAGGACAACACCCTGGCATTTTGCCAATAGAATGTAAAGTTATGAAACTGTTTGTTTACAGATTTATGTAATCCTTTCCAGCAAAGCTTACCATGCACACGTTATTCACTTCGCTTGTATGCTCACATTTTCTTTCCTGTGATTGCCACATTCATTATCTAATTTTGGTATGTAAGTTAAGCGATGAATTTTTAGTAATGTAAAACGAAAACAAAGTGCAGTAGTGCACTGGTCAGTGTACAGTAGTATAAACCCATGGTCTGGAAAAGTATTTTGGAAGACACAGAACATTATGGCCTGCAATTTTGTCCTCCTTATTGCTGAAGCTGGCCTCTGATGCAGGCCAGAATATTCAATTTGCTTTTCTAATTACTTTCCCCAGACAGTGGGTTTGTTTTACATAATATAAAAAAATGCAAGACAAAATATAATACTCTAACTTGAGCATCTTATCTACTTTAAGGACAACCCGTAGCCAAAAGATGGAGTTCCATAGCAGGTACTACACACTTTTCTTCATGTATAATCATTGATAGCTTACATTGAAAAACAGCCTATTATCCTTGAATGAAATGTGAGATCAGCAATTTTGAATTTATGCTGTCACTTTGATGAATACATACATTTTTTAATGTGCTACATTGCCAATCCTTGAAAGCTTTCAAGCATGTTAATATTGCAACTGGAATGGTCTTTACTGTAATATAGACAATATAACATCTTGTGAAAGCCTGTAATTGTTTTACGTGATGGTAGGATTGCTGGTGTCCATTTTTCTGTCTCGTGAACATGCAAGGTTTCAGGTACGTCTTGCTACTTCTACTTACATTTAGGTCACAATACACATACCTGTGCAAGCATATATATACACACCCCTCTGGGTTTTCTGCTATTTTCTTACTAGTTCTTGTTCTTGTTTGTTTCTTCTTATTTCCATGGGGAAGTGGAACAGAATTCTTCCTCCATAAGCCATGCGTGCTGTAAGAGGTGACTAAAATGCCGGGAGCAAGGGGCTGGTAACCCCTTCTCCTGTATATATTACTAAATGTACAAGGAGAAACTTTAGTTTCTCCTTTTGGGCCACCCCGCCTCGGTGGGATACGGCCGGTGTGTTGAAAGAAAGAACTATTTTGCGATGCGTAAGTGGTTTTGAAAACCGACAAGTTGCAAATTTAGACACTTGTGCAACATATGGGAATCTTTATTGAAGAAACATTTTGCCACACACTGGCTTCATTAGTCCAATATGAAGCAGAAAGGTGCAAGGAGAGGAGGAGTTTGAGGTAATCAGTCCCTCGGTCTAGAATTAATGTGTTCAGTCCATCACTTTTGTAGAAAGTACAGCATAGGGTCCGGAGAAGTGGCTTATATTCTGTAGTCAGTAGAGTCGAAGCAGGAGGAGGCAGGATCACAGTGGAACCATCCACTAGCGTAAGTAGGTCTTTATATTGGACTGATGAAGCCACTGTGTGGCGAAATGTTTCTTCAATAAAATTCCCATGTGTTGCACAAGTCTCAGTCTTCAACTTGTTGGTTTTTCAAAACCATTCATTACATCTGTCAGACACTGCAACATCATGGGATCTTGATAAAAGGAATTTCTCAACACTTGTCCAACTTTTGGACAAAGACCTACTTACACTAGTGGATGGTTCCACTGTGATCCCCCCGGCTCCTGCTTCGACTTGCCTGACTGCAGTATATAAGCCACTAAACCACTTCTCCAGCCCTATGCTGTACTTTCTACAAGATTGATGGACTGAACACATCGATTCCAGGCTGAAGGACTGATTACTTCAAACTCCTCCTCTCCTTGCACCTTTATGCTTCGTATTGGACTGATAAAGCCATTGTGTGGCGAAATGTTTCTTCAGTAAAGATTCCATATGTTGCATAAGTGTCTCAGTCTTCAATATAACTATTTACAGGACATTAAGAACCTATGAATTTCAACAGATAGCCATTATCAAAGTGTAATTGCTAAAATGCTTGCTTAGATTGTTCTTGAAGTTTGCATTATCTGTTCTGTAACTGTTGCGTAGAACCCTAACTGGGTTCTGGAAGTAACGTTATATTGCGGCACAGTATACTCTCCTAACTTGTATCAGAGCAAAGGAAATAGGAGTATAGATTTAGTTTTAGTAGAAATTATGGACTGCTATTGGATGAGTGGGATGTTCCTTTATTGAATCACTGTTGATAGGGAAACAGCTGGTGTATAAAGAATAATTGGTTAGTATACAATTGAGATTGTGCATTCCCTTTACTATTATTTTTTTCTTTGATTCACTGACTCAACACTGATAGTAAATAATTAAAAACATTTTTGAGAGAGAAAAGAGGGTTTGCTTTACTATGCAGTAAATATCAATAGAAAAAAATTTAATTCTAAATTAGTGAATTTATCTAAAATTCAGACTCTATATATTTCAGAATTTATTTGAATTTGACATAGCTCAGGATTTTTTATAAACTTTTTCTGTTAGAAATTGAGCATTGTTTCCAACAGGCAGAGTAACTAGAGTTAGGCTGTAGAGTAATTCTTTATACAGTGGACCCCTGAGTTTCATCGGCATCGACTTTTGTGAAATCCGACTTTCGGCAAAATTTAGCCTCGTGGTTCGTGATTAGACTCGTGATTCGGCAACCATCCGGTACCCGTCTGCCCGTCACTGCGCGCACAGTCTCCCGCACCATTCACACTCACTGTGCCATTGTTTAACAGCGTGTGACCATCACCCCGCGGGATCATACAATACATTTCATAATAATCCATTGTTTTTTGTGCTTGTAAATGCTAAATAAGTCACCATGGGCCCAAGGAAAGCTAGTGCAAGCCCTTTGGTAAAGAAAGCAAGGAACACTATCAAATTCAAGAAGGAAATCATTGAAAAATATGAGAGCGGAGTCTGTGTTACAGAACTTGCCAGGATGTATGGCAAACCCCATTCAACCATCACTTCGATCGTGGCGAAGGGAAAGGAAATAGTGTGCTGTTGTTGCAAAAGGGGTAGATATGCTGACAAAAAAGAGATCGCAAATTCTTGAAGTAGAAAGGTTATTGTTGGTGTGAATTACCCAAAAACAGTTAGCAGGAGATAATATTATGCAGTTGATATGTGAAAAGGCAAGGCAGTTGCATGACGATCTCGTAAAGAAAATGCCTGCATCGAGTGGTGATGCTTGCTGGTTTTAAGGCCAGCAAAGGTTGGTTTGAGAGATTTAAGAAGTGTAGTGGCATTCAGTGTGATAAGGCATGGTGAGGCTGTCAGTTCTGACAAAAAAACAGCTGAGAAGTTTGTACAGGAGTTTAAGGAGTGCATAGACACTGGAGAATTCAAACCCCAACAAGTGTTTAATTGTGATAAAACAGGCCTCTTTTGGAAGAAAATGCCAAAGAGGATCTACATCACGCAGGAAGAAACGGCACTCCCAGGACACAAGCCTATGAAGGATAAGCTTACTCTCATGTTTTGTAGTAATGCTAGTGGGGATTGCAAAGTGAAGCCTTTACTGGTGTATCACTCTGAAAATCCCAGTGTGTTCAAGAAAAACAGTGTCGCCAAGAGTAATTTGTGTGCGATGTGGAAGGCTAACAATAAGGCATGGGTCACAAGGGAAATTTTCCTCGACTGGTTTAATGAAGTGTTTGGCCCCAGTGTGAAGAAATACCTCCTGGAAAATATATTGCCACTCCAGTGCCTCCTGGTAATGGAAATAATTGGTATAAAATACCGACACAATGGCAATATAAACACAAATGCAGTATAATGTGATCCTTTATTGACTATGAAGTTCTGTTTGTGACTTGAAAAAGCCCACTGTGTGGGCGAAACGTAGTCAATAAAGGATCACATTATACTGCATTTGTGTTTATATTGCCTCCTGGTAATGGACAATGCTCCTGCTCATCCTCGAGACTTGGAAGAGCAAATAGTGGAGGAGTTTAGTTTCATCACAGTGAAGTTCTTGCCCCCTAATACAACTCCTCTCCTCCAGCCTATGGACCAGCAGGTCATTTCAAACTTCAAAAAACTGTCCACCAAAGCAGTGTTTCAAAAGTGCTTTGAAGTGACCTCAGACACTGAATTGACCCTAAGAGAGTTCTGGAAAGATCACTTCAATATCCTCGCTTGCATAAACCTTATAGATAAGGCTTGGGAAGGAGTGACTTGCAGAACTTTGAATTCTGCTTGGAGAAAATTGTGGCCAGAATGTGTACAAGAGAGGGATTTTGAAGGGTTTGGGGCTGACCCTAAGGAGCCTATGCCAGTTGTGGAATCTATTGTGGCATTGGGAAAGTCCCTGGGGTTGGAGGTGAGTGGCGAGGATGTGGAAGAGTTGGAGGAGGAGGACCACAGGGAAGAGCTAACCACTGAAGAGCTTCATCTGCAACAGCAAGAGATCACAGCTCAGGAAATTGCTGCAGAGGAGGAGGAAGAGAGATGGAGGAAGGTGCCTTCTTTAAAGATTAAGGACATTTGTGCAAAGTGGACCGAGGTGCAAACATTTATGGATGAACTTCGCCCTAACAAAGCTGTTGCAGGCCGTATTGGCAACACGTACAATGACAGTGTTATGTCCCACTTCAGACAAATTTTGAAGAAACGCCAGAAACAGAGCTCTCTGGACGGATATTTTGTGCGACAGGGGTCCAGTGACTCTCAAGTTGTTCCCAGTGTCTTTAAAAACAAAGAGAGGAAGTAACCCCAGATAAGGACTTTGTACCTGAAGTCCTAATGGAAGGAGATTTTCCTTCCAAACAATAGTGTACACCTTCCTCCTGTCCCCTCCTCCTGTCTTCCATCCACCCAGAAGTCTTCAGTAAAGGTAAGTGTAATGCTATTATTATTTTTTATATGTATGTACTTGATTTCTCATTGTTTTCAGTATGTAAATCTTTATTTAATTTAAAAAGAAAATATTTTACTTTAATATTTTTGGGTGTCGAACGGATTAATTTTATTTCCATTATTTCTCATGGGGAAAATGGTTTTGCCATTCATCAATTTCAACATTCGACAGACTCTCTGGAACAGATTAATCATGAAACTTGGGGGTCCACTGTAATGATTTTCACATTAACTGGTTAAATTGAGTACATTTGCACTTAGACATTTAGTGCTGTTATTTTCAGACATTTTAGAAGGGGAAAACATTAAATTCTATAATGAAGGTTTTCCCTGCTACATCTCTCGTTGAAATTACCTCTTGTCACCTTATGCTATACATGTATTCTATTTTAAACTATCACAAGGGGTTGTGATAATTTAAAATAATTTAAGATCCTGCCAGCCCTTATTGGGAGGATTGAATTGGTTTACATTTTTTTCCGTATAACTTTTAAATTTGGTTTAGCTTTTTAACCAAGATGGGCCATATTTCAAGGGTTTAGCCTTGGTGGGGGAAACTACCATTGTGTTAAAAGAAAAAAGAGAAAGAAAAAAATATAGACGCCATGCATGTCGTAAGAGGCGAATAAAATGCCAGGAGCAAGGGTTTAGTAACCCCTTTTGTATACATTACTAAAGTTATGAAGAGAAACTTTTGTTTTTCTTTTTTGGGATATGGCCAGTTTGCTGAAAGAAAAAAAAGAAATTTAAGATAGTGATGAAAGTTTTCAAAATTGCTAGGTCCTTCTGGCCTTCAAGTATACATTTCTTGGTATGTTAACAAACTAACCACATATACTACTGATTTTGATGGTATATTGAGGTTTGAGTGAAAAATCTGGTTTTATAGTTGATCTAAAATAAAAATTGCAAGTCCCAGGACACATTCAAAATTGCTGATCATGATGGGGGGGGGGGGGTTCCTGGGCATTCTTTGATGAGAGTATTAGGAAAGAAGCTTCTAACTATATATATATATATATATATATATAATATATATATATATATAATATATATATATATATATATATAGATATATATATATATAATAGATATATATATAGATAGATATATATATAATAATATAGATATAGATAGATATAGAGTATAGATAGTTAATAGAAAATTGAAACATATGATAATATTAAAGTTATATATATTTATATGATGGTATATCATTATAATAGATAAGATATATAATTATATATAAGGTGTTAATGTTCAGTTTAAAAACTGTAGTGTAAAGCACCCTTCTGGCAAGACAGTGATGGAGTGAATGATGGTGAAAGTTTTTCTTTTTCGGGCCACCCTGCCTTGGTGGGAATCGGCCAGTGTGATAATAAAAAAAATTAAAAATAATATATATATATACATATATATATATGTATATATATATTATATATACACACACACACAGTGGACCTCCGCATAATGATCACCTCCGAATGCGACCAATTATGTAAGTGTATTTATGTAAGTGCGTTTGTACGTGTATGTTTGGGGGTCTGAAATGGACTAATCTACTTCACAATATTCCTTATGGGAACAAATTCGGTCAGTACTGGCACCTGAACATACTTCTGGAGAGAAAAAATATCGTTAACCGGGGGTCCACCCTATGTGTGTGTGTGTGTGTGTGTGTGTTGTGTGTGTGTGTGTGTGTGTGTGTGTGTGTGTGTGTGTGTGTGTGTGTGTGTGTGTGTGTGTGTGTGTGTGTGTGTGTGTGTGTGTGTGTGTGTGTGTATGTGTATGTGTATGTATATAATATATGTATATATATATGTATATATATATATATATTATAATATATATATATATATATATATATATATATATATATATATATATATATATATATATATATATATATAAAATATATATATATATATATATATATATTAATTAATTTTGTAGCAGAGCAGTACAGACCATTGCATTTTCCAAAAAACTAGAACACTCGGCTTTCTAGGACAGTACTGTAGTTAATGTATTTTACAAGTTTCATTTTTTTTTTCCTTTGCCCTTCTTCCAATGAATTTTGCAATTCTAATTTTGTGCACAATAGCACTGTACACTTTCCTGGAAAAATGATCACTGCTTTGATATTTTGCTCTACACCAGCTTCAGAGGGTAAGAACGTTGTAGACAAATACCAGAAGGGTTGATTTTTCTTTATCAGTTTTGTTACACTACGTAACATTATTGTGGCTTCTAGTGTGGCATCTTTCCTTCCCTACCCCTTCTCCTTTCTGTTCCTAACAACTTTCTCTAACATCCAATTTTTATTTCTCTTGCCCTAAAATTTTTTTCCCCCTACCCTTATCCTCACTCTCCTTGTCTGCTTACCCTCCCTTTCTCCTGTTCTCTCCACCCCTTTATCCTCCGTATCACCTACCCTCATCTTGCATTTGTCATTCCCTCTCTTGGTTCCCTCCCCTTTCTTCCTGCATCTTCATCTGTCCCTTTATACTGTGTTTATATTTCCATGTAAGGTTCATATCCTTATAGAAAAATGAATAGCAATGTTGCTATGCTATAGTCACTGTCAGTGCTTAAAAATAATCCTCTTATTCTGCCACAGCCAAGGTCACTGTCATGGTACTTGAAAATGGTCTCCTTAGTTGGCTCTGCAAAGTTCTACCCTAATTATACATGCACCTAAATTAACTTTCATTGACACTGATTTGTTCCAGTGATTACTAGGGAGGATCATGTGTAGCACATGTTTCTCTGCAGCTTTGCCGTATCTAAGTATTGTTTTTCTGTCTTCTTGAGCATCAGAGTGCAGCACTGCAGATGGACACTTGATGCAACTTTAGCCTCTATATATTTTGCATTTTGTTCCTAGACTCATATAATTGTTCTTTGTAGACATGACTGTGTGAATGGGATGGAGCAACAGTGGACTCTGACCCACTAATTATGATTTGCAAGCAAGCATGCGCTATGTGCATCTTTCACTAATATTTAACACATTAATTTTAAACCATGTAAATAATTTACATAAGTAATATTAATATGTTGGCAAGAAAGTACTGAAAGTGCTGTAGAAAATATGAATTTGATTTATGTGAAATCTGTTTCAGACCAACACCATTTTGATAATCCTGTGTATGCCTACCAATCTGTGAGTAAGTCTCAACCAAACCTGCTTGAGAATGGCAATTTAAACAACGGTGTTACTATCAAGAATAACCTATCACTCAAAGATGACAAGAATCGAGAGTGGGAGAAGCTAGGTACCTTCACTTTCCATGATGATGCTTGTAGTTTAGGTAAGCAATTTTGAGTCTTGCCATCATCCTAGTTATTGTGTGGATTCAAATCTTATGAGTACAATATTCATGATTAAAAAATGCATAGTTTAGAAGGGATTTATTTGTTATTAACACATCGGCCGTTTCCCACCAAGGAAGGTTGGCCCAAAACAAAGTAGTTTTCATCATTCATTCCATCACTGTCTTGCCAGAGGTATGCTTACACTAGTTATGAAACTGCAACATTAACACCCCTCCTTTAGAGTGTAGGCACTGTACTTCCCATCTCGACTCCAGTTCGCAATTTTCCCTGAAACCCTTCATAAATGTTACCTTGCTCACTCCAACAGCACGTAAAGTCCTAAAAACCATTCGTCTCCATTTACTCCTATCTAACATCCTCACGCATACTTGCTGGAAGTCCAATCCTCCCTCACACAAAACCTCCTTTACTCCCTCTAAGTTTTCCTAGGCCAACCCCTACCCTGCCTTCCCTCTACTACAGATTTATATACTGTCATTCATTTTTGTTCCATCCTCTCTATATGTCTGAACCACCTCAATAACCCCTCCTCAGCCTTTTGGATAATACATAGTTTTGGTAGTCCCACACCTAATCTCCAAACTACAGATTCTCTGCCTTATATTCACACCACATTGCCCTCAGATATGACATCTTTACTGCTTCCAGCCATCTCCTTGTTGCCACATTTACCACATGTGCTTCACACCCATATGAGAGTGTTGGTATAACTATACTCTCGTACATTCCCCTCTTTGCTTCCATGGATAAAGTTTTTTGTCTCCACAGACTTCTCAGTGCACCACTTCGCCTTTTTCCCCTCCTCATCAGTTCTATGATTCACCTCATCTTTCATTGACCCATCTGCTGACACGTCCACTCCCAAATATCTGAAAACATTCATCTCATCCATATGCTCTCCCTCCAATCTGATATCCAGTCTTTCATTACCTAATTTTTTTGTTATCCTCATCACTTTACTCTTTCCTATATTCACTTTTAATTTCCTTCTTTTACATACCCTATCAAACTCATCTACCAACCTCTGCAATTTCTCTTCAGAATCTCCCAAAAGCAGTGTCATCAGCAAAGAGCAACTGTGACAACTCCCACTTTTAGATTCTTTCTTTTAACCCCATACCTCTGTCCAAACATCCAAGCATTCACTTCTCTTACAACTCCAGCTATAATTATGTTGAACAGCCATATTCTAAAATTTTGTACATTCATTCTTGTTTTGAATGTAGAGCATTCACCTAAAGGGGCAGTGGTGTGGGCAGATGTTTGGGGTAGTTAGTGAGGTTGATAGAACACATTACTGTATATTTATATTTTGCTACCAAAATCAGCTAAAAAAAAATACTGCAAATTCTCATGTGTGGAGCAATTCCTGAAAATTTAATTAAATAGTTAAAATTCACTATACAAAGGTAAGGGAGAATAGGTTATGTTCCAAACATCTCCGTTAATTTCTCCCCTTTCCCCAAAACAAATAGAAAAAATTAAAGCATACCTCTGTGGGGAAGGGAGGGAAATCATTTGCCATTATTGGCTGCAGTATTTACATTGTCATCATATTTTAATTCTTCTGACACCTAGTACCATAACTCTACTTCTTAGGTGCCATTGTGTGCATTGACAGTGTATTTTAGTAAGGTATTTAGTAAAGTGCAAAATATACAAATAACATTGTGTAAACACAACTTAAGATAGCTAGAGAATCAAATCAAATCAAAGTTTATTCTCTATAAGGATTACAATGCAGGGTTTACAGATTTTGGTTATTGTGTGGTTTACATCTAATAAAATACTAATTACAGAGGGGGCCACTAGAACACCTAGCATGGCTAGGCATTTCGGGCAAACTTAGATTAATTCTTAACCCTAAATTATTACAAATTGTGGAGTAAGTTGACGAAATACTAAGTGACTAAATAATAGTTTTGAGTTTAACAATGTGAATGCTTTTGTTTTGGCACAATACAGTTTCTATAATGGAGTATCACAGGCAAACTTGTGACTAGTTAGGAATCATTATTTTAAGATTAAGATACTTATTTCTGGTAAAGTGTATGGTAGTTATAATTGAAAGAATTAAGAGTAAGACAGAGAATAGGATAGCAGATGAACAAGGAGGCTTTAGGAAAGGTAGGGGGTGTGTGGACCAGGTGTTTACAGTGAAACATATAAGTGAACAGTATTTAGATAAGGCTAAAGAGGTCTTTGTGGCATTTATGGATTTGGAAAAGGCGTATGACAGGGTGGATAGGGGGGCAATGTGGCAGATGTTGCAAGTGTATGGTGTTGAGGTAGGTTACTGAAAGCAGTGAAGAGTTTTTATGAGGATAGTGAGGCTCAAGTTAGAGTATGTAGGAAAGAGGGAAATTTTTTCCCAGTAAAAGTAGGCCTTAGACAAGGATGTGTGATGTCACCGTGGTTGTTTAATATATTTATAGATGGGGTTGTAAGAGAAGTAAATGCGAGGGTCTTGGCAAGAGGCGTGGAGTTAAAAGATAAAGAATCACTCACAAAGTGGGAGTTGTCACAGCTGCTCTTTGCTGATGACACTGTGCTCTTGGGAGATTCTGAAGAGAAGTTGCAGAGATTGGTGGATGAATTTGGTAGGGTATGCAAAAGAAGAAAATTAAAGGTGAATACAGGAAAGAGTAAGGTTATGAGGATAAAAAGATTAGGTGATGAAAGATTGGATATCAGATTGGAGGGAGAGAGTATGGAGGAGGTGAACGTATTCAGATATTTGGGAGTGGACGGGTCTATGAAAGATGAGGTGAATCATAGAATTGATGAGAGAAAAAGAGTGAGTGGAGACAAAGAACTTTGTCCTTGGAGGCAAAGAGGGGAATGTATGAGAGTATAGTTTTACCAATGCTCTTATATGGGTGTGAAGCATGGGTGATGAATGTTGCAGCGAGGAGAAGGCTGGAGGCAGTGGAGATGTCATGTCTGAGGGCAATGTGTGGTGTGAATATAATGCAGAGAATTCGTAGTTTGGAAGTTAGGAGGAGGTGCGGGATTACCAAAACTGTTGTCCAGAGGGCTGAGGAAGGGTTGTTGAGGTGGTTCGGACATGTAGAGAGAATGGAGCGAAACAGAATGACTTCAAGAGTGTATCAGTCTGTAGTGGAAGGAAGGCGGGGTAGGGGTCGGCCTAGGAAAGGTTGGAGGGAGGGGGTAAAGGAGGTTTTGTGTGCGAGGGGCTTGGACTTCCAGCAGGCATGCGTGAGCGTGTTTGATAGGAGTGAATGGAGACAAATGGTTTTTAATACTTGACGTGCTGTTGGAGTGTGAGCAAAGTAACATTTATGAAGGGATTCGGGAAACCGGCAGGCCGGACTTGAGTCCTGGAGATGGGAAGTACAGTGCCTGCACTCTGAAGGAGGGGTGTTAATGTTGCAGTTTAAAAACTGTAGTGTAAAGCACCCTTCTGGCAAGACAGTGATGGAGTGAATGATGGTGAAAGTTTTTCTTTTTCGGGCCACCCTGCCTTGGTGGGAATCGGCCAGTGTGATAATAAAAAAAAAAAAAAAAAAAAAAATCTGTGCTTATAGTCAAATGGGTGAGTGAGTGAGTGTAAGTGTGAACCACCAGGTGGTTTTTATGTAGTTAGTTGACGGGGTGTATCAGGGAGACGAGATGTTTTCTAACTGTAGTTTTGAAGGTGATGAATGTGTCTGCAGTTCTAGAGTTTTCAGGTAGGGTGTTCCAGATTTTAGGGCCTTTGACATACATTGAATTTTTGTAAAGGTTTAGTCGGACACGGGGAATGTCGTAGAGATGTTTGTGTCTGGTGTTATGCTTGTGGGTCCTGTCACAATGTAGGCTAGCTACTTTGTACAGGCTCTGCAGTCCATACTGTATTGTCAGACTAATAGACTAATAAATAATGAGTCAGTATGACTTCCTTTCCTTTAAAAGCACCAGGATTTTCTGAATGATAACCGAGCATGGGTTTCCACTAACATTTTCCAATGCATCAGAGCAAAGAATGAGCTTAAGCTATTGACCTGCCATGATGGTACATCCTCCCAGTCATCCATACTGTCTTGTACCACCAAATGATGGGTATATATACATACATGACTTGCCCTTTCCTTTTAAGGCACATTCATTCTCTTAATGATAAATGAGCCTGAACTTGCACTTTAAAAAGTTCTGATGCATTGGAGATTAAAATGCAAGTTAAGGTGACATTGACAGCCTTGAGATGAGGTGCAAATTCTTGCTTGCTAATGTAGATTCTTGATGGTATCTGCTTCCAACATAGCTATCATTGACACAAGATTATCCCCGAATGCAAGCCTGTAGTAATTTTTGTTTTGGTGTAATCCATGAATTAACTGTCACTGAGGCTAACAACGTAATGTAGCGAGTGTGCCAGCATGGTGGGTGTGGGGAGGTTGGGGAAGGGATGGAAGGTGTGATGTCTGATTGGTATTACATGAAAATGCTCTGCCTGCCTAAGTGAGATGGGCCATATGGTAAGTGATTTGACTACATATTTGGATTCTCCATATTCAGCAATGCAGTTTAACAAGGTATTGCATTTAAAAAGTATGTTTACACATTTGAGATTGTATTTTAACCTTTCACTGTCCAGACTCCTGAAATTGATGCTGCTTTAAAAAACAATTCTGAAATGGTAGAGAATTGTTCTGAAGGTAATGACACCAAATAGGAAATTTGATGGGAAACCTGTGGGATTACACATGCACGAAGTTCTTGGTCTCGGTGCAGTTTATGCATCAGTAATTTTTGCCCACTCTGAATTATTTTAAACTAATTCATTCAACCAAATTCTTAGCTATTTTGCTAGTATGTCATTCATTCTATCAATTGAGCACAAACCACCCATTAATCTATTTCAAGTACCCTATAAAGTGCACACAAGTCAGTAATTTGAGCAATTTTACACAAAATTTGAAAAATGCCAATTTATAAAGTCCAAAATAATGTAGATATTCCTAGCATTAATACA